TCTATATTAACATACGTTTATTACTCTCTCATTATACATTTCATTTTTTCGTCTTTTTCTTTGTTTGATTCTTTGATGACATTTACGTGTTGCATTTCTACTAAACTAGCTGCTAAAGAATGCAGCCGGGACAAAGAAGCTAGTTCATCAACGCAAAATACAACAGGAGGGTGTCCTGTTGTTGTTACCAATCCCATGTCTGTGTCTGTTCCCAACCTTGCTTGTTCAGATACTAATAGTGCTTTGGAATCAACAACTGCTACTGGTTTATTGGAAACTTTCGCCGCAATGACTCGAAGACGAACATTGGGTTAGTGTTCCTGTATTATTTCTAACGATATTTGCACATTAAAATTTCAGTACTACTGTTTTTCAATAAATTAGTTCCATAATTTTGTTATTTATTAATGAAGGAAATTCTTTTAGGACCTACCGGTGGACAGCACATTGCTTCAAATTCCAATACTGGTTCAAATTCACGCGGACCTAGTTCTGTGTCGAGTTTAGTTCGACTCGCTCTGAGTCCTAATTTTCCTGGTGGATTACTAAGTACTGCGCAAAGCTATCCAAGTTTAACCAGCAGTGGTCAAGTAGCTGGTAGCGGTGTTACGACAACGACCGGACCTGGCTTAGGACAAGCTCTCACAATGTCATTGACCAGTACAAGCAGCGACAGCGAACAGGTAAAACATAATACGCGATAAGAAATATTTTACGAAAATATATTCTTGAACCTGTAAATTAGGATTATGAAATTCAACATGGACGGTATGATTTTATATAATGTAATAAGCAGTTATGGCTGCAGGTTAGTCTTGAGGACTTTTTGGAATCTTGTGGAGGTGTTGCGAGTTCCAGTGCCGGTGGAGGTAGAGCAGGAGGTGGACCAACTCTTTTGACTGAATTAGAGGACGACGAAGATGGCGTTCTCGAAGAGGAAGAAGATAACGATGAGAACGATCAAGAAGTGAGTTGATAAACTTTATAAATTGTGTTATATGACGAAATGGAATGACAACTAGTTCTAATGTTGAATTATTTATTCTCTCGTAGGAAGATGATGAAGAGAACGAAGAAGAAGGAGATGGTTGCGAAGCCGATTATGAAGAGGTAATGGTAAGTCGCAACTTACTGGCGGCGTTTATGGAAGAAGAAACTCCTCAAAGCAGTAAGAGACGTGCCTGGGATGACGAGTTTATTCTGAAACGTCATTTCTCAGCTTTGATTCCTGCCTTCGATCCACGACCTGGTCGAACAAATATTAATCAGGTATGTGTAAACATTAAAAAAACAAGATCATTTCTAAAGACTGTGTTATTCTTAGAAAACTTTGTTTATAGACAACAGATTTAGAAGTTCCACCACCTGGCAGTGAAACTCAATCGAGCGCACGCGTAGGATCATTGCCTATGCCTAGGCTTTCTTTGACATTGAAGGGTCCAGGACTTCCGGGCGTGACAGACGTTGAATTACCACTTACAGAACCACATGCCAGTATTTTCCAAGCAGTGCAGGAATTAATGCAATTAACAGAACTAGGAAGTCGACAAGAAAAGCTAAGAAGAATATGGGAACCAACTTACACGTAATATATTGATTTTTTTATAATAGTGATTTAAAAAATTTACGATTCATATTGAGGTTATGTAACTTTGATTTTTGTTATTGCAGTATAATATACAAAGAAGCTAGGGACGAGGAATCATCTGGAAGGGCAACGCCAATTGTAACATTGTATTCTCGTAGTACCACTCAAAATTCTTCAGTGTGCACCGTAGAAGATGTTTTGCAACTCTTGAGACACGTTTATGTATTAAGTACTACTCGCGATGATGGTAAACACGCCGATTACGAAGAATCCGAGGAGTCGACGTGTTGGGTTCATCCAGACGACTTTACTTCAAAGAAAATCACAAACAAAATAGTACAACAAATTCAAGATCCCTTAGCACTAGCTGCGGGGGCGTTACCAAATTGGTGCGAAGAATTGGCAAGGAGTTGTCCATTTTTGTTACCATTCGAAACTAGACGATTATACTTTAGTTGTACTGCATTCGGAGCATCACGATCAATCGTGTGGCTTCAAACTCAAAGAGACGCTGTTCTCGAACGACAAAGGGCACCTGGTTTAAGTCCACGACGCGATGACAGTCACGAATTTCGCGTAGGGAGACTAAAACACGAAAGGGTCAGTGTACCTAGGGGAGAGAAATTATTAGACTGGGCAGAACAAGTACTAAAGGTAAATTAATTTCATAAAATTTGTCATGCAAATAGTGATAACCATCAAGGACCATGTTTAATCGTACATTTTGCTTCGTATATAGGTACACGCAAGTCGAAAGAGTATACTAGAAGTTGAGTTCGTTGGCGAAGAAGGTACTGGTCTTGGGCCAACGCTGGAATTCTTTGCGTTAGTTGCTGCAGAGTTACAACGCAAAGATTTGGGTTTGTGGTTGTGCGATGACGAAGACACACCTGAAACTGAACAGTCTCGAGTTTCTGGAGAGCAAGTACGACCTGCAGGATATTATGTAACTCGACCAAGTGGTTTATTCCCTGCTCCATTGCCGCAAGATTCTCTAGCTTGTGACCGCGCCGTTCGATACTTCTGGTTTTTGGGTGTGTTCTTGGCAAAAGTTTTGCAGGATAATAGATTAGTTGATTTACCATTGTCCCGTCCGTTCTTAAAATTAATGTGCCACGGAGACATCACAAACAATGTGAATGAGAAGATTGGCCTTACCGGTGTTACTCAAGAAAGTATGTCGTCCAGTATGTCGAGTAGTTTTATATCGGAAGAGGGTGAGGCAGATGCAGCATACACGTCGTTAGAACCTTCGCCATGGTATGCTGGCTTATTGGACATCGAGGATCTCGTACTTGTGGACTCTGTGAGAGGTCAATTTCTAAAAGAAATACAAACTGCGACTAATAAACGCGATAGAACTTTCTCCGATGGACGAAGCTCTGCCGACGAAGAGACATCGCTATATATTACACATCCATCCGGAATGTCAGTTCCTATCGAGGATTTGGCTTTAACGATGACCTACTCTCCAAGTTCTAAAATTTTTGGACACGATCAGTTGGAGTTGGTAGAAGGTGGTGCAGAAGTTTCGGTTACCATGGAAAATGCAAGAGAATATTCTGATATGACGATTAATTATTGTCTCGACCGAGGAATTTCTAGACAACTCGAATCATTCAGATCCGGTTTCTCAAAGGTCTTTCCGATGGAAAAACTGCACGCTTTTAGCCCAGAAGAAATTAGGGCTATGCTTTGCGGAGAACAAAATCCACAATGGACCAGAGAAGATTTGCTCAATTATACTGAGCCGAAACTGGGTTACACGAAAGAAAGGTAAACAAATGTTTCAAGTATAAATTGTTTCATACATTACATTTTCTGTTATGCTAAAATTTATGTTTGCTATTTTATTGCAGTCCTGGATTCCAGAGATTTGTCAACGTTCTAGTTTCATTGACTGGCCCAGAGAGAAAGGCTTTTTTACAGTTCGCAACTGGATGTTCAGCTTTACCTCCTGGAGGATTATGTAATTTACATCCTAGATTGACTGTAGTGCGAAAGGTGGACGCTGGTTCAGGTGGTTATCCCTCTGTTAACACCTGTGTTCATTATTTAAAATTACCGGAGTACCCTACCGAAGAACAACTTAAAGAAAGACTCTTGGCTGCGACCAAGGAAAGAGGATTTCACTTAAATTAATCTTGTTTCTGCTCAGGCAAGGAACTGCTATGATAATATAATCAGAAATACTCGCTCTTAAAGTGTGCGAATCGAACTTTGCTTGACAGATTGAATCGTGCAGTCTTCATACGAAAGCAGAGTCTGGCCTTGATGTTATTTAAAAACCTTAAAATAATTGTCCAATAGGAATCAGATTTTATATACAACCTGGAACGGATACGTGCGTATCATTTAAACCTGTTTAAATGAAATCAATGAGGTTACTCGATGTATTGTGAATTTTCGAACACGTAAGTCGTGTCTTTAATCTTGGGCTTAAATTTGTACATTTCAAAAGAAATTTATAATGAAACAAATAGTGTCCAACTATATTGTTCGATTTCTCGTTATTCATCTAAGATTCTTTAATAAGGAACTACTTTTTAAATCTATACTGTAACATTCGTTACAGTGCAGAATAGCGCGTTAACCTATAATAAATAATAAAAGGATCGATATACATATAATTTGACAGATTCTTGCAGGTTATCCGTTCCAAGTGTTGGTCATGCGATATGAGTTTTGTCCGATACAATAGAAATTGTATTTTCTCAAGAAATGTAATTCATGCGAGTCGTTTCAAGTATATTTGCTGTCCTTGTGGAACAAGAACTTTACAGTTCCTCATTTTAGAACGAATGTTCGTACTGTCTTCTTTGTGAAGTATTGTTGTGCTTGGAAAGTGATTCGTATTGTAAGAAAAGAGGCACCTTTGATGAAAATTTCTATTTTCTTTATCAGAATGCCTCTTGCGGTACACATGCACGTTGTTAAAACGCGCGAGATGTAAATCAAAATTGACTTGTGCAAAGTGCTAAGTTTTTATTAATCACAATAAGAATGATGTTTTTTAGCATCTAGACCAATTTTCACAGCTTCAAATGCTTGTCCTTTTGTCCGAATATTAGCGCATCACCAACCTTCTAAAGACGCACGAATGTCTTTTAAACATAAGTAAAAATGGAGCAAGAAAAGTATGAGGTGTAAAACATTCTGATGAAAGCGTTACGAAGACTTGGCAAGCTGAGCACTCTGCATCTTTGTACAATATGCTACTTAATGCTCACTCGATAATTATAATTATAGGTGGAAATCAGTATACTTGTAATAATAGTGTCTAGAAGAAAAGATATGAAGATAATATAAATGTGAAAAAAGATTGATTAATGATATCGATATGAGAAATAGTTACTATTACTGTAATATAAATTATTATTGATTCTTGGGGAAAAGAATAAAAGAAAAAAAAAACGTTATAAAGTATAACATGTTTTTCAACATACTTTTGTTACATGTTTTATACAGTATATGAATATAAACGCATGTATTTAACAATTCCCACGCCATTTAGAAAAGATACGCATCTCGCTAGATTCCACATAACATATGATCTACACATATACATATATCGTTAATATATTGTATATTAGACCTATCTGTGCCATTTCAAAGGCATCATTAGATGACTATGGTCTACATTATATATTATGCAAAAATTGTAATATTAATTTTTACAATTTCGCTGATCGAGGTATGCGTTTTTCAGAATCATAACTTCGTGATTCTAGTCACTTCTTTTGTAGCACGTTATTTGCTTCTGCACGTTCCTCTTCTAATTCATTGGATGTAACTGTTAACTTTGATCTCGCAACATCGCTAATCGAAAGTCCCTGAAATGTTATAAACATGAATTACCTTTTGTTCTTACAATACATTTGGTTATTAGATATCGTAAAAGAAAAATATTTACTTGAACGATCTTGTATTGTCCATTTTGTGTAGTAACTGGAAAAGAGAACACGATATCCTTGGGAATTCCATAGCTACCATCGGATAAAACACCCATGCTAACCCATTCTCCAGGTTTGGTACCCATCCACCAATCTCTCATGTGATCTCCAGCTGCTTTAGCAGCTGACATCGCAGATGACATTTTTCTTGCCGATATCACAGCAGCACCGCGTTTTTGAATTGTTTCTACAAACTTATTATTCAACCAGCTTTCATCGTTTACCACTGCAGGTACCGGTTTGGTACCGGATGGAAGGGCCACGGTAGCGTGCGATGCATCAGGATATTGAGTTGAACTGTGGTTACCCCAGATGATTACATTCTTTACTTTGTCAACCTGTTTGCAAATGTAAGTTTTATTAATTCTTAAGGAGTGTAATACGCAACGAATGATGCAATATCGGAATTACCTGCACGTTCAATCGAGCCGCTAAAGCTGCTTGAGCACGATTTTGATCTAATCTAGTCATGGCAGTAAAGTTTTGTTTTGGAATAGATGGTGCATAATGAGAGCAAATCAAAGCATTTGTGTTGGCAGGGTTCCCAACAACTAAGACCTTAACGTCTTTTCGAGCATACTTGTCCAAAGCTTCTCCTTGGACTTTAAAAATTTCCACATTAGCTGCTAATAAATCTTTTCGTTCCATTCCTTCTTTTCGAGGCATAGCTCCAACAAGAAAAGCAGCAGCAACATCTTTAAAAGCTACAACTGGATCAGCAGTTGGCACAATTTCTGGAAATAAAATACTTGTGTCACATTTATATTATCTCCAAGGTTCATTTTATCAGAAGAGTCATACCATTTAAATTAGTCAACTGTTACATAATCTTAGTGTTACATAACAACTGTTTTTTGCTTCTATCAATTAGATAAATTAACTGAATTTTGCAAATTGTGATTAACATCGTCATATTAATACAATATTTGATTGTGGAATACTAATATCAGTAGAATATGTACTTGAATGTTATTTTAATATTAATGTTTTTTGTTACCCCTCAAAAGAGGAAGAGCCAAATCTTCCAATTCCATGACCACCCCATCCAATACTTTCATCATGACCGGAATATCTAGCAAACGAAGATTGACTGGTTGATTTGGACCAAAAACTGAACCAGCAGCAAGTTGGTACAGTAGAGAATAGGCAATTTGCCCTGCTGCTCCCGTAACCACCACATTTATTGGATCGCTCTAAAAAATAAGAAACAATTTAATCCTACATACACAAAACATTAAGAAGCCGTATAACAACTTCCTCTGCTGTAACTACAGCAAATAATAAATTTTGTTGTTAAGACCTCTCGAAATGAGTATTTTAACAAATTTTCTATTCTTCGTTAACTGATAATCCTACTAATACAGGTGGTTAAAATGGATGCAATATATAACAGTAATTAATAATTGGTACAATAAGATCGACAAATATTTTGAATGACTATCGAAGGTCAAACGTAGAGGTTAAGTAAATTTGCATAATACATATATATGTAATAATATTAATTACTTTTACAGTAAAGAAATAATTAATGTGCAGCATTTGTGACTTACCATGTTTCAGAAATGCTCGTATAGATAAGACGCAGAACGGTACAGCTTCCAGATAATAGTGAAGAAAGCGATCGGACTCTTCTACTCCAGACGACTAAGGTTGGCTAAGGTCAATCAGAATGATTGGCGTAGCCGTAATAACATTGACAGCGGCTCTCCTGGAAGATAGATTTGAATTTAAACCAACCGACCTGAAGTCTAAATATTACAGTCAACTTATTTCGTATTTAGTACTTTGGTGCTATTATTTAATTTAATCGCGCAAAATGCGATATTCAAATTATGCAATAAGGCGAAAATTGTATAGAAAAATGTATATTTTATAAACAATTTGTGTATCCAAAGAATGTATCGGTGGCGCTATCTTACAAAAGCATGGGAAACTATTTTCACTACTGGGCGTTTTCCCACCGATGACGCCACTAGTACAAATTAGTTAGCGGTGTCATCTAGCAGCAATAGTGAGAACTATTCGAGGACAAACTTGGGCATTTTCTCGATAGAGGCGCTGACCAAACTCTGAAAATAGTTCGGATGTTCACCACTGGATGGCTACGACAATTGTGGTGGACGCACTCATCATCGTCGATAAGAAGATTTATGAAGACCGTCGATAAAGAATAACTAACTGTTAACTCGATGATACTCGATGTCATTCATTTGATTGTCTTTTGTGAAACATAATTTAATTTTGTTCTTCTTTTTGTCCTTCCTATCACTTGCTCTCTCAGTCATTAATATCTGGTGCCATCTAGCATCAACAGAGGAATTTTTACTACAAATTTTTTTTTATTTATAATACGTTTCATGAGAAAATGCATTCTAACATAACCATGCGACTTGCAATAGAATTTTAATAGATAATAACATTTCACTAAATAACCGACCGGTGGAACCTTCGGGGAATTTATCTTAATTCAGATAATATTTATTTTATAGGTATATAATACATTGAATTTGCCAGCACATGTGAGAGAAAACACACTTCTCGGCGAATAATACTTGTTTTTTTTTTTCTTACATTCAACACCTTCCAATTATTCCTATACTACTGCTACCGAACATACTTTTTCCAATCATCCGTGGAACGGAGTTTCATTTTCATTTAATCGACTGACTATCCGAACCGACTGTTCTTCGATGCGGCAGTCGGTTAACAAGTGGTACCTGAAATACCATAGCATCTGTAGATCTGACGTTGTACATAAAACGGGTGGGTACAGGTAAATTGCATCGATTCGTCAGCGTTTGGCAATAAAACGTACGTAACTTCGCGAATATTATCAGCTATCTCTTACCGCCTCAAAAATGCGTCATGTATGTAATAGATCGTCGAGATTAATGCCGAAATAAAAATGTCAACGTTACCGGGAAAAAAGAAAACATTGTTTCAATATAAAATATGTTACGTTCGATAGAGGGGAGGTGGGTGGGTGGGTGGGGGGGGGGGGATCGTGGGGATGGGGGATGGGGGGTAAGGAAAGAAATCGATTTCGATGGGACGAACCACGATAATCGTACTGTTCGGTAAGCTGCGTATCAACGATGAATTAGTGTTCTTCGTAAGCGCAGTGAGAGTGGCTCATCGACGTTTTTCTTTACCCCGAGTACAAGGGATCCATCGATTCGACTGACGGTCGTTGTCTATTTACAATGGTTGCGATAAAGACTAATTAATTTATAAACATCGTTGTTGTTTATGTACAGACGTAATATAAACGCATTATATCTTATAAAACGGACATGTGTAAAAGTGTCGCGAATCAAACAAACAGTGCGAAACTCGATTCGATACGGTTCGGTTCGGTTCTGAGAGATACGAAGGAGCTCGCAATCGTCGGTAGCCCGTGAACGTCTATCGTCGAGCCTTACAACGGATTCCCAAACGAAATAAATCGTACCTTTACGCGCGTTTCTTCTATTTTAAAGGACAAAGTAATTTTCGTTACGTTTACAGCGAAATCGGTACGCTTCGTTCGGAAAAAGTAACCAAAAATTTCCTTAGTACCTGAGATCGCAAAAAATATACTCTGCGGTTAGAAAATACTAAATCGTATATTTGAAACGATATCGGCACGACGTACGGTCAACGAAGCAAAGGCTCGTCCTGTTTCGCGGCGACTACGCGTTAACCACGCTTGTTCGCGATCGAACGTACAAAGTTACAGGTACAGAGAGATGATAGAAAAAGTGCCCGTAGAATGTTCGAAAGAACCACGGAAAACTGTTTGTTTCCGTGTAAATCCGTGTAAATGGCTGAGACGAAAGCCGAAACATCGAACACCGAACACCGTGGCGATCAAACGGATACGAACTTGTCCCGATCGAATCGTGCAGCGGTTTGAAGCGATCGAAGGGATCGAAGCAATGTCGCGCGATAAGCCGATTGACCGCCAGAACGTTACTTGATCGGTTTACCCCAGGCGAATTGTATCGGCAACGGGGGAATATCGCTGCTAGTGGAGGACTCGTCCTCGCTGCTCGTGGCGGACGCTTCCTCGGAGATCATAGCCTCGCCGCCGGCCTCCTGCGGTCTCTGACCGGCGCCGCAATCGTCGGCGGCTGCCGCAGCTGCCGCGGCGGCGGCAACCGCGACAGCCACCGCGGAATTCGTTGTCACCGCCGCCGAGGAAGAGGAGGAGGACGACGAAGAGGTGGACGAGGACGAAGAAGACGGATCGCTCCGTGGTCTTCGTCGAGGGACCGGCGTGGAGTTGCACGTAGGGGCCCACGCGGACTCCTCGACTCGCGCGGAATCCGTCACGGAGATGCTCTTCGACCTCGCCCTGGTGTCCACGGAAGGTCTTCGAGAAGTCAGTCTAAGCGATCCCTGTCTCGACACCGACGTCGTCGCCTCCGGTCTGGCCATTTTCGGGGGCGTCGCGGTCGGCGACGCGTCCGACGCTCCTTTCGAGAACTCGTCGTCGATCTCCAACGTCCACGAGACCGAGTCACCTTTCTCCACCATAAACTTCACCATGGACGACGATTGCGGACCGTTCTTGTCGGCTGTAAGACTGTGCTCGACGTGCTCCGGACCCAACGATCGCGACAGTCTAGGCGTCAAGTTCGCAAGAACGGTCACTACTTCGTTTTTTTGACGCAACCTCCATTGCAGCTCCTCGTTCCTTTGCGCCAATCGTTTGTTCTGTTTGGAGACCTGATGGATCGACTCGTGCAGCACCTCGTTGTCGTGAGACATCTGCCTCTCGATAGCCTCCTTGCACTGAAGCTGGGCTTTCAGGTCCTCGCATCTGGCCTCGAGAGCGATCGCGCGTTGCTGCAGCGCCTCTTTGTCCTCGATCTCTCGCCTGATATTGTCCAGTTCCGATCTCAGAGTCGCGTTTTCCTGACTTCTGATCTCCAACACCGATCGCAGAGACTCGACCTCCGCGGTGAGCGCCGCCCCCTGGTCGTGCACCACCGATCTTCTCTTGAACTCTCCTTCTTTCCGTGTCAATTCGGCCTCCTGTTCCGCGCGCAATTTTACCATCGCGGCTCGGTGTTCTTTCGCAGCCTCGTTCAACGAATCGCGTAACCTCAGCTCGCATCTGCGCCTCTCTTCCTGCAGCGCTGCTTCGAGTGTGGCGATCTGCTCCGCGTGACGGGCTTCCACTGCGGAAAAGTCGATAACAATGTATGACGATCATATTCTACGATGACCGTTAGGACAACCGTTTGTTCGCTTCTTTCTAAGTCGCTCTGGCTATAGCGGTCGGTCGTTGTCGTCGTACGCGCGTTATTATTTTTCGCTCGGAGCGATCGACGTAGCGATCGACGTAGACGAGACGGATTGGAAAACGGAAGAAAAACAAAGCCGCGGGACGGGAGACGAGAACGAACGGATCAAGTCCGTCGAACGTGCCAACCTATAATTAACCTCGATGAACGTTACGTGGTCACTAAATCTAGCGTTTGTGATGTTCGCGCGCGCACGCGTGCTCGGTTCGCTTTTGAAAATTCTATGCCCGAATTATTCACCGTCTCCCGGGCTGCGCGTGGGCACCGACACTCGCCGATTTTAATTAACAATTGCTCCACTTTAAATCACCGTCGTTCGCCACCGACATCGAGACCATTAGGCTCGTTTAAGAGAGAATATCATTAGCGTACGTATCGTCGCGTACGGTACGTGACTTTTTAAAACCGCGAGATACACGGACAACGTAACGACGGATTGGATTCTCTCGAAAACAAAAAAGGGGGAAACATCCGAGCGTCGCGACGTACGCGTAAATCACGTCGCGTTATAATTTTCACCGTAACGAGCCAAGAGACCGAAAGAAACGCAAATAAATCTCTTGGCAAGACTCACGATCTTCGCGAAGCTGGTCCAAGGCTCTTCGATGATTCTCCCTCTCCGACTCGAGCCTCTCTTCAATGCCGAGGTTTCTAGATCTCAGCTCCTCGATCTCCGAGCAGGTCGACATCCATTCCGTTTTCATGTTCTCGAAATCTTTTTTTAACTTTGGAGTAGAAAAGGCGTCCAACTGCGCGATCGAAACAGAAGACGATTAAAACTTTGCACGAATGATTCGGAAAACGAGTTCCGAGTGTAACGCGATAAAGAGATAAAATAAATAAAATATACCTCGTAGGCCAGATACTGCACGGTGATGGAGAGAGCTTGTACAACTTGCTCCGCCCTTTTCACGCGTAGGGTCTCGTAGGGTGCGTCGGTTTGTGCGGCCTGGTCCCGCGTCTCCAACGACGCCCTCGTCACCGCATAATTGTTGCCGTGCTCCTTGGTTTCGCGATCTGCAACCAACGTCACCGGGCCCATCACCATTACGATTCTTCCAACTTGGACATAAATTCGACTCGTCCACCCTCGGGTTGGCGCGCTCCTTCGGCTCGTGGCATTTATTCCTACGACTCGGCTATTCCATTAGTCTTCCATCGGTTCTCCGCTGTTACCGGGATGAACTTCGTTCGCGACAGTTACGCGACGCCGAACGAGCCATCGCGACGAACGTTGACGAAGACGCGAGCCTTTCTAACGTCTCGCAAAGTTGTTTATCGTCGGTCATGTTACACGCACAGGGCAGATTAGGAATGGAATCGACTGCGACACGTACTCGCCGATGGCGAGTTTCTTTCTCCGAATACCGAGAGATATTTCGAGTGTACTTACAATTATTTCACCGAATAAATTCGCTTTTCCATTTGGAATCGGTCACCCATAAATAGCGAACCCTAGCCGTGTAGCAATTCGAGGATAACGATCCGTGCGATCAACCTGCTTGCAAGCTGGTTGAACCCATCGCTACGTCGAAGAAAGTCGCGCGGAAAACTTGTTCGCCGAGAGAAAACTGTCGACAAGTCTTGGAAAGTCGAGCTACCTGTTTTTCAGGATCTTTCGGGCGGCCGAAGCGCGGAAAATTCGCGCGTATACGCACGCTCGCCTAGCGGCCGGTTTTTACTCTATTTATCGTCTGTCGATTTTATGGCTCGTTGAATCGTGACGACGATTTGGTCTGACTGCGTCACCGGGATGTTCGTCCTCCCATTATTGCCGCGATGTACGTGACAGCACGCGGGCTGCGTTCGTCGCGAGCCTGATACTTTTCGGCGGCTTGGACCAGGCTACGAAAGAAAAAGAAAGAGCGAAGGATGGTAACGCGCGAGAGTTGAATCGATAAACTTTCGGCGCCCGGCACGGTAGAAAATACGCCCGAGAACATCGGGCCAGTCAATGAAAACACTCTGGGTTAAGGTCAACCGTACGACAGTCGTGTCGCGAGCACGTAAAATCTGAGAAGCCGAAGATACTTCGACGGCCACCTTGGACGGAAACCTGGAGGTTCCTTTCCGCGTTAGTTTTCGTACCCGTCACGCCCACTATCGTTTATAATCGCACGATATACGCAATTAGCCGCAATTAGGTAAACGAACCGAACGTTTGCGTTTCATCGACTGTCTATCAGGATGAAATACGGTAATGTTTGCTCGTCAACCGGAGCGGCAACACTCGCGCACTTTTCACGGAACAAACTTTTGCCGTTAAAGTTTTGTTTAAAAGTTCTTTATATAAAGATAGCGGTATCTTTGCTCGACTACTCGTGTATCGATCGATAAGATCGTAGATTCTTCGAATCGTATCGTTGTACTTTTCTATCCCGTTTGCACGAGTAAATCCAACGGAACGTTCGTTTTTTCGTGACACGTATTTGCTCGACGAGCGCTTCTTTTTTCTTTTTCTTTTTCTTTTTTTTATCCGATTCACGGTATCGCAATCAAGCTGGAAGAGGGGAGACGCATTCGAGTATCCGATCACGTGGAAAACGTTCGATAAGGACGATCGAGGAACCAGTGCGAAGGAGGTGTAATCAGGATCGTCATTTGTAACGATTTGCTGGCCAAGTCCGCACTTCGACTGAATTAGCACGAGCCACAGGCTGCCTCGCGAAGCGATATATCCCTCCTTCCGTCTTCTCGGCCACTCCTACCACCACCTTGAATCGAGATGCAACCTCGAAGAAGACGATGGACACGCGGAAAACCGTGTCCGACCGGACACGCGCTCTACGCGCTCTTCGTACATACGACTCGAGCATATGACCCACAATGTCCGCATGGATTTCCATAATTCCGTTGAAACCTCGATTTTCTTTTCTCGCGTGAAAGTCCTTCGACAGAAGTTTTCTCTCGCCGGAAAAAGCGCGATTATATCTTTCAGGGAAATTGAGGGACTGGTCAGCCTTTAGAATTTTAACCTCGCCTTTGCATTAAACTCGATATAAACAAATATCAACAAACTATACGTCCAAATATCACCCACATTGAATGAAACAAAAAATTTAATGAAAAAGAAAAAACAGCAAAATAAATTTGGAACCAAGAATGGACCAATATGCAACTCCAATTCTGCCAAATAGAAGACTACAAGTGGCAATAACAAGATCGAGAATTGTCCACACAAATTTAACCCATTGTTACAGAATAACGAAATCACAGCCACCGTCACGGACCTTTTGCGACGAACCTCTCACGGTTAAACATTTAATTGAAGAATGTCGAGGAATGCAGCGCGATCGAGTAGAGTTCAAACTTGTAAATAATACGCAAACGATCCTCGACAATAGAAACGAATTTCTCAAGCTTGTAGATACAATATATCAACGAAATACGATATAACGAATAAATTGTAATTCGATTGTAGATACTAACGTGGTCACTAATAAGCCTGTAGTTGATGTGACCTTAAACAAAGTAATTAAAAAAAAAAAAAAATATTAACAAACGGTTCGTCGAAGATTCCGAGGAAGACGTCTTCGTAACGCCGACGATCGAAGAGCACCGCCTAGGCGTCTGCCTTTTACTCTATTTGTCGTTCCGTCTGGCGATTTTATGGCTCGTAAAAATGAGAAGCGCTCGAGAGACTGGGATTCGTTTCAGCGGAATCCGTCATTTCGTTAATGGAAAAAGGAAAGGATAACGAAGATAATGACGGCCATGCGAGCGAGCACGATCGCGACGAGTTATTTCAAGGATCCGTGCTCCGAATAAATTCGCTTTTCCATTTGGAATCGGTCACCCTTAAATGGTGGACCCTGGCCGTATACGTACGAGACAATACGTGTCCGTATAGTGATTCGAGGATAACGATCCGTGTGATCAACGATCGGATAACGCTCTTCCGCCAGGACCTTAGCAGACAATTGACGATTCCAGTCGTCGCTATTTGTTTCGTCACATTCGTAACGCGAGCGTAATTAACGATGACCAAATGGTAACCAGATCCTTCCTTCGAACTGATTCAAACTCGCCGAAACAGTAGGCACATAATTTTTTTTCACCGTTTGCTCGACTATCGATGCGCATACCTCGCAGTTGCTTCATGAATGATTAATAGAATGATGAATTAAAACGAAAGGAAGCGCAAAACCGTGACTCGAAGAAACTCGACCCGTGATTCGATGCTTTCTAGGACGCGTATGGTTATTAATAATAATTTTTACTTTGGTAACTTGCTCCACATAAACACGCACGTACCCCGCTTCCGCGGACTTTAACCCATTTGCAACTCGTTCTTATCGGCAATATTTTATTTGAATACAATTTACGAGCAAATCGCGCGCATATATTCCCTAATGATGCAAATGGGTTAACATGTCGGTAGTTAACGTGCTCGTAGAGCAACGTCCGCGATTTTATCGCGGTTGTTTCGTTCGTTGTTTTCGCGTTCGATCGATCGAGCCGGATTTTTTCGGAACTCGTAGCGAAAATCGATACCGTAAAAGAGGGAACGGAGTTTGGCGTATCCAAGGACCGGTGAAAGCTACGACTTTCTTCTTCGAAGCGACAAGCCACGCGCGCGGAGGGACACGCACGCGTGCGTCCTCGTGTACGCGGAGAAACGCTTCTACGTACGCACCGCAAAATGACCGTGTGACTTTTTTAGAAACTAGCTACCGTCGGTCGGAGTAGCGCGGCCAATGAATTAGAAAGCATGCCGGGATGATACGTTCTCGCGAAATCATCTTCCTCCCACGGGACAAAAGTACAAAGAGACAATAGTGGAAATAACGAATTTTTAATTCTGGGATTATTGCTTGAAAAAAAAAAAAGAAAAAAAAAAGAGTAATAGGTAATCGCAGGATTTAAATTAGAGACTTCGTGCGATCGGATCGCAAAGAAGAAGACATTTTACGATCGTCGACGACCGGTTGTCGCGGTTCTTCCAACCGCGATAAAAGAAGACGTAATGACAGCGCGAAAATATCTATATACCTTTCGTCGATGTCGTTGAACTGTGCTGCTTCGTTGGGACAGTGGTTGTTAATCTCCTCGTTATTGTCGGCTTTCGCGTCGCTGACGGACTCTTCTCTGGAAAATAGAATTCGCCGCGTTAACGAGAGCACGTTACACGCTCGCCGGTAGTGCCTTAAATGACGTATCGTCGAGTTTGCGAGTACCGTTCGCGCGAACCGTTTCGCTGCCAGATAATACGTACACACGAGCTCGGAACTACCAACAGTGAAACTCGACTTTTCAACGCAAGACAAACAACGTTTGTTCGTCCGAGGAAAAATCTTTATTATCAACGTAAAACTAATCTCATAGCTCAATGTAATCAAACGCTAACGTAATCCTGTAGCTCGGCGAATAGTGTAACACAAAGCCTGTCCCCTAGCTGAACGACTAACGTAATTAAACGCAAAATGCATCCATACTCGGTCGCTTCCGTTCGATTACATTTAAAAGTGAAAAACGAAAGCAGAATAAAATAATATTCTCGCGAAACTGTCGATCCGTCGAGCTGCGTATACAGACTGTCTGTAGACTGTACGTTGGATATATAAAAACAAATAAGTAAATACCAGGATATTTACGATGGCACGAGGAAACCATTGCTGCTGGAATATTCCGGTCATACGAATCGCGCAGTGTCTGTATCGAAACCGGCTGATCGTTTATCCGAATCGTCGTCGATTAGCGTAGATCGCATTCGGTAGTCGCGTAGCGTTGATAATGCTGATCACGAAACACCGTGGCGTACACGTAGGTCGCAAATCACGTTTACGAGATGGATTATTTCAACGGCGCGCACGGGACTAAACGGACTGGCAGACTGTAGCAGACTGAGTGGCACGCTGTTGTTTTCCTGTTTGAAGCTGACGAAGGACTGTCGGGATATCGAACAGCTTTCGAAACGGCCGGGGGTTTAAATCGAACGGTGGTTGCGGCCGTTAGGGATGCGTACCGTTAGGTTTCCGACCCGACTCGTAAACAACCGTCGTTGTCGGAGGCCTACGTTCGGGTATAATTATCGGGTATAATAATAGCATCGGGAAATTCGTTAAATGGCTACGGCTACAAAGGAAGAAAGTATATCGATATTCGATTTCTTAGAAATCGTGTCTGCGACTCTAACGTTTCTCTCACACGATTCGTTTGCCGAAACTAGCATGGCCGGTTGCCAATAATACTTTTCAATGCTACGCTTCCTACTCGAAATAGAACCCTCTTGGTAGTTTGCTATCGACGCCGGAGATAGTACCGAACTTGTTCGTCTCGTTGACGCGGTCCGCGGTCGATGCGAATCAGCGCAAACGGTTGCATACGGACAGGCGTTCGGAGGAAAAGTATTCTCTTCGTCGCAATAGGTCTCCAACCGGAAGTACGCAGCGGTACCCTCGACCTTTCGTTTCCTCCGTTCAATCAGTGAACAGACATTTTATATGTACATACGGGGTGTGTACGAATAAAAGTGTTCCAGGCTAACGTCTCCTAAGAACCAAAAGGCTGACGAGATAAAACCATAATGACGGAGACTTATCTTTCTAATACGATCAACAGATTGCGACTTTTAGTAACGAACAAACTAATAAAATCGAGTCTCTGGTCGCCGTGCTTTCAGAGATATTAACCTGTACTATTTTTAACGTACACTCTGTACACACGTCCGCGTACACCCGCCTATGATACGTAGTATATGTAGTATACGCATATATGTATACGCACGGTCATCGTATTATATGGGGCGCATGTACCGGACCCTCGACACTCACCGAGATTGATGGGCGAAATTTCTACACAGTTCTTCTTGCTCTCGAAACTATTGACACGGTTCTGTTGACTATTGCGACCATTCGCTACCAGTCTTCTTGGCGGGTTTACCGATGTCGGCGATCTCTCTGGAAATACAGAACGAAACCGATCAGTTGCGATTCCCTGTTCCAAAATGTACAAAGGAAGTGCAGCGACCTTTGTAAAATCAGTTCGTTGCTATCATTTGTCGCAAATTAAAGTAAATTGAAAAAGTATAAAGTAAATATAAAGTAACCACTCCACTTTTTAGCAAAGTGTAATCGCGTTCTCCTTCTCATACATCTAATACTTTTACCAGGTAGTCGTGAAAACAACAAGGTAACACCGCGACGCACAGCATTACGCGTCGAATGGTTCGTAAACCACGGAATTTCGTTTCTCTCGTCAATCGCAGTTACCATAACGATATTTCACGCGCATCATCGGAATTCGTGCCCGACGAGGCGTTACAGCGAGACGAATCCGTGCCGAGAGCTAAGTATAAACCGGTGCCCGTCGATTATGCCAACGAGGAAAAGAAAACGTTTATTATGTACACCAGGCTGCACGTAGCCGTTGCCTACGAGCTCGAGCATATAACGGCCGGTGCATGGGCCCCGTGTGCGTAATGGTTCGAATCGATCTTGCACGCGAGAGCAAATTTACGCGGATAATATTTTACGCGGTCGGGCACGACAATTAAGAATATCGATCCCTTCGAGCCTGGACGTGGACTTGAAAATTGTTCTCTCAATTGAAAAATTGCGTTCCAGGCGCTGTTAAGCCCATCGCACACGGCTGCAACTGATCACTTTCAAACCACTCTGAAACTATAGATAGCGGAGTAGGTAAAACAAAGAGCGCAAACGGTTTGCAACGCTAATTTCAAATCGGTCGCGCCCGTGTGCGTTCGGCCTGTTTATTACAACGAGCCCGAGGTATCATAGTTTCCGATGAACTTCTCGGACACCAATGATCGATGGACGACGTATAAAAGAGAAATCCCGTGACGAGGTGTGTAAGTAGGGTACCTTTGATCCTTCCCCGTAAAGTTTTAGACTCGCTTAAGAGAAAACCGTTCGACCCATCTACCTTTTCGAATGCCTATGCAGCCGCCGCGAGCCGGTCGCTCGTACTCGTTGGAACTTTCTAGCGTTAAATGGACCACGAAGAAAAAGACAGGTGGCAGATAGCCACGGATCTCGTTCATTTTTTCATAGCGAAACGAGATTAACGTATCGGTAGACGAGATCTCGCCGGCCGAGTCGTGTCTCCCTATGAAAATCGTTTTCCAGGCCAGAGGACAAGGGTCGTCTCCCGGCTAAATCGCCGGTCGCTCCTAATTATATGACTCTACCTCTTTTGAAACTGCCGAGCCGCATTTTCGTCGAGTCTCTGACGAAATCCGTCCGAAGAGCTGGCCTACCCTTCGATCCTTGCTGGCCCATTTTTAATCCTCGCTTTCACCGTGGCTTCGCCGGCATTCCGCCGCTAAAAATCATTCCGGAAACCGCAGCAGCTATTCACCTCGTGGTGTCCCGGCTCGACGCCTGGTACGGCACCAGGAACGTGTACCACCGGTACTCGCTATTATCCGTCATATTTATCGGTGAACCTTTCTTCATCCGTTACGCGCACTATTCGTCGCGCGAGAATCAACTCTTTCCCATCTGTCGCGGTGACATCGCGTTATCGTTGGTTCGAACGAACGACGGATAATCAAACCACCTCGATGCCGCGGACGCGAAGGTTGCGATCCATGGTTACTCCATCGCGGGCACGTTAACTCGAAGACTGGATCGACGCGTTCCGATCGTTGTCGCGACCCGATTCCAGGTCCGCGACGCGTGTCCGTCTTTCACCGGCGCGGGCGCGATCGACGGTGGGTTTAACATCTGATTCCGATGGGCGATTGCGTAAGTGGTAGATCGAGCCGGGTGTCGTGGCAGTGGTCGTCGGCCTTGGAAGCCGCACGTGGTCGCCGGGTGCACCTGTCTAAAAGGGTGGGGACACGGCAGAACCACCGGCGTGGTCGAGTCGAAGGACGTGCACACGGCCAGAAGAGACGACCGATGAAGAAAGGCAATGCCGGAAATAAACCACCCAGTGCCGTTGACCCGTACGCGAGCTCCGTCAGTCGAGAAGCTGCCAATGTACACGACGAGAGTTAACACCTAGGAGAGTAACGCTAGGTGTCCACGCGGATGCTTTCGGCTCGAGAATAAAAAGATCCTTTGATACAATCGAATTTCCATCGAATACGAGAGCGATCGATTCAGCGCGGAACGACACGAGAGTAAAACTCTCCGGTAAGACTTTCTTCAACGGTCACAGCATCGCGAGTATAGGAAAACGGAGCTTAAGGGTTCTTTCACACGGACGCGCGGTTAACCAACGTTACGAGACAACTTCCAACCAGTTCGTCTTACGCAGTTCTACGGTATGCTTCGTGAATCAAGCAAGGACGAAAGAATAAAGACTTCCGGTAAAGGACTATTTCCAGCGGGAAGGTGGATTCGCGGAATTCTTCCTCGCGTGCCTCGGCCGAAGGAGCTTTTTTTTTTTTTATTCTCGGTACCGTTCTCCGAGAAGGAAACTCTCGAGCGGACATCGAATGCGACGATCGTCGCGGATGCTTCTGTCGTTCGGCCGACGGAAAGAACGTCGGCCCTGATGCGAAAGAACGTACCGAAAGGCACCTTCGGTAACGGTATCTCGGGAAACTTTCATCGGAGTCTCGGAGAGGGGCAGGTGATCCAGCCTCGAAACATTTCGATGTACGAATTCTTCCGACGATCGAATATCAATGAACGCGCGATAACATATTGCGGAGGAATCGAAGCAACGTCGGTGAAATCCTCGCTCTCGATGACCCTGTTCCTTCGATCGACCCCAGTGCCGGCGCGAGAAGACGGGACACGCCGAGAATCAGGTCACGTAGAATGTATTCGTGGCTCGCTCTGATACAGCGTCGAATCGAAGATCCGACGTCGATAAGAACATCCGATAAGAACATGTACCGATGATGGCGTGTACGTTGGAATCGATACGAGACGATCGAGGTTCCGCGGAGCACAGCTTCGATGCACTTTGCACCGTCACATTGCGGTATTCACTGACGACGACGCACCGGCTGTTCGGTCTTGTCCTTCTTTTGCTCTGTCACGAGCGCGCACCGACTATCCGCGTACCCTCGATAAAATCGGTCAGCCGAATGGGGTACAGAGCGAAGACGTATCGCGTGCGAGTGTGTGCGTGCGAGAGAGAGGCGGAAACCGCCAGAGGAGAAGGAAGAGAGAAGACCGGAAATGCAACGCGCGTGCATAAACAGCGTCCGAGCGAGCACGAGGTCCGCCGAGGACTGCCGACTGGATGCTGCTGGTGTCGCGGCTGCGGCTGCGGCTGCTCGAGCCGCGATCCAATGGAAACGAAACTGCCCAGTGGCGCCGGAAGAGGGGCATCGGCGCCCTCGACACTTTCGACGTCCAAGTTTCGCGCGCCCTGTATGGGTCGATAGAAAAACACCCTCCTACGCCCACGCGAATCCAACCACTCCGCTCCCTTACGTGGACCGAACCACCCAAGGCGTGTTACGCGACTGTAGGTCCTACGCGCGACGCAAAAGCAATTTTCGACGTCGATCATCCACAGTTTCGATATATCCGATCGAAACATTCCACCTGGTTACTTCGGTTACCTTTGTTTCCATGGAGTGTATTTCGAGCGAACGCGTAGATGCAAAAAAAAAAAAAAAAAACGTAAAAAGAATGGGTACTCTTCTATACGCGTTCTTAGTAACGCGCTCAGCGGTTACTCGTTCTGTTGACCTTTGCGGTCTGAACTTTTTCTACGCGAAAAAACGCAAGGTATGCGGTCGAACATAACTCGATATCGCAAAATCGGTTGGCATCATGTTTATTCAAGCTCCAGCGTTCTCCGCAAGGTCTTCCCGTCACGGTTTCTACCGCCGCGACTCCGCAACCTACCTCTCCGTCTCTGTAAAATATACACGCGTGCGAGACAACGCGAGTGCAACGAGTACCTCGCGATACGAACGTTGCACTCTCGCTCGATCGAAATGAAATTAGAACAATGGTGACGCGTGTATCGTTGATGGCGGAGCCTCTATTAACATCGCGATGCGACGTAACGCGAATAGATATCAATTTGATTCGCGATCGTTTAAAAATAAATCTTCTCTCTCTAAATATAACGTTTATTATTCGCGTGTTACGTTAACGTTTATTATGCCGAGTAAAAGGTTCGATAGTATGGTCGTGCGAAGTAAAATTTTGTCGTTTTAAATTTAATGAGAATTCAACTTACTTGACGCGTCCTTGCCAGGTCCGGTACTGAGATCACTCAAGGAGCTACGAACGGAGCTTCTGGCAGTTTCTTGAGTCGGTGATTTCATTTCTTGACGACCGCGTATCCTCCTGGCAATTAAGAACGTCTTAGCGATGCTACATACGCGAAACCTTTCAGACATTTGCAGTTACCGACGACCGATGCCTCACCTCTTGTCCTTGTTGTTATTGTTATTAGCGTCGCCAGCTTTTTTTTGCGTCGATCCCGTGGCAGATGGTTGGCCAAGACTTTGCAGTACTCTCGACTTCACTTCTTTCCTGATCGGCCTCGTTCTCTGTTCGTTCTTGCCAGCTTCGATTTTACTCATGACCGCGTCCCAACGGCCACCCTTTCGCGACGACCTCTGCGATCGCCGAGCCTCTTTCTCCGCCTCGTCTTTCGGTCCGGACTCGATCATCGCCTTAATCTTCGAGACGACGTTCCTCTTAGGCATTTTGTATTTCTTCAACGGAACGGCGTCAGCCTTGTTCTGGCCTTTCGACCGCATATTGTCATTGTTTCTCTCCACCTCGATCACCGTGACCTCGTTGGTATTCATCGATCCATTGGATTCGCCGGACGCATCCAAAGGATTCACGGCAACCTAAACATTATCGATCGCACGATATCAACAAACGTAGATAGACGCGCTTCGGTTATCGGATCGTTTCGTGAGTGTTTTGCGTGTTTCGTTGGGTAAACTTTCGATGCGGCGCTAGTCGTCCAAGTGTATCCTATTTGCAAGTTAAGTAGTCGATATTTTTTGTCCGTAGTAGTTTCCACCTGTTTTTCGAATCCGATAAAAGAGTATACGTTGTACAGTCTACCACGGACATCGACAAAGTTCGTAACAAATGTGCCGTTAAAATAAGCCGTTCGATGGAAATGTTACTAATTTCTACAAGAAAAAAAAAAATCGGTACATTAAAGCGCGAGTTGGGAATACCAGTGTTTTTATACATGGGAAATAGCTATGGTACATCGTGATCGCGGATTACGTTACGCGGTGTGTGTTACAGCCCTTGATAAATAACCGAAACGCAGTGTGATCGCGAAATGGTTCGACAATCGAACCGATCGACTCGCCTGTAAGTAATCCATGATAACCTCCGCGTGAACGGGCGATGGCTGACTTCTCTGAGAGACCTCTGTGTCGATGGTGTCCGGCGTGTGATCCTCGTTTTTCTCCACCGTTTCCTCGGGTGCGAGCAACTCGTCGTGTCTCTTATCGAGGTCCGAGTAAATTCCGCTCGAGTCCATCTCTTCTCCTGTGAAGCTCGGACATCTTCGACCGCCAGGAGCGCAAAAGAGCGTTCCATCGATTACCTGGGCCTTCCTATCGCCGCGCACGATCTCCTCGTAGGCGTCGGCGTCGCTTTCCGTAAAGAAGTCCGAGTCCGTCATCGGATCTTGTCTGCACGGAGCGGGAAGATTCGGCGGCGGCGCAACGGACGGTGGATCCGCTCCCCGACTCGCCGGCCTCGAGTTCTCGCCGTCGCCTTGATAGCCAGCTTCCAGGCTGGTGATGCTGGTCACCGACGTAACGAAACTGATGGGAACACCTGTGCCCCTGACGGGTTCCACGGGCTTAGGGTCGAGCGGAAGCTCTTCGGGAGACGGTGTTCTCTCGCTGGACCCCTCCTCGGTCGGCTCGACGTCTACCGAAGGCCTCGACGCCGACGCCCGCGTTAACGCCAGTCGCGAACCCGCCGATCCCGTAAGATTTTCGCAGGATGGTGTCCTGGAGCACTCTAGCGCAACCGTGAAGTCGGTCATCTGGTCAGGGGTCAGTATACCGAGACTCTCGTCGTGTTCGAACGAGTTCTGCTTGTTCAGCATCAAATAATGCGGCGTCGCGTTCACTGCGTTCTCATTGTAAGAGCCCAAAGACGCATCCAGGAGACAGTTCTCTCCGGTGTCGTCGAGCAAGCTGTAAACAACGTAACGGAATATATAATACGCCACTTTACCGTTCGTTGAATATTTTCTCCATCCGTCCGGAGAATGTGTTTTGCAAATGACGACGGTGTATTTGCACTCGTGATGAGCTACCTATTATTCCATTAGGGTTTTTACGACCACCTCGAGTCAGGTCGAATCGGTGATCGTAAACGTTTTTCGGATACACTTGACGCTAAGCGCAGACATTGTTCCCCGCAGGCAACGAATGTCATTCGCAAAACCAGACTCCGGACGGATGAAAGACGTGCGCGGAACGCGTAGTAGGAACACGCGGTACCAGGTACCTGAGAAAGTTGCTCTTCTCCTCGGCAAAGTGAACCAACTGTTGCATGTCATCTTTGTCGATGTCCCATACAGGTGATTTCGTGAACGTCTTGCGTCCCGAATCTGTCGATAGAAAGCGTCGTTGTTAATTATCTCGCTTACAGCGCTCGTCGCGAAAACAAGGACGGGCAACGTTTGATGGAATTCATCCGAAATTCAAGATTAAGAGGTTACCTTCTATCGCCGGCGTAGACACGGCTCGTGGCATGCACTTCGTTTTAGGACTGGACTCGTCCTCCGCGTCGACGAACTGCAAACATCCCGATAACACCAGCGAACGTCGATGTCCCGGTACCAGCGTCGGTGTTCCCAGTACTCTGGATTTAGGGAAGAAGGACGGTCGGGCCGCTCTCGGGACCGGTATCCGGCTCTCCCCTACGTTCTGGAATCGGACAAACGCTACGATAAATACGCGTGCACTCGTTACGCGTCAACTATTTCACGTATCCGCTCGGTCTCTCGCGAAACACGCATTTTACGGAGACGGCCGGAAATTCCTCCCGAAGAATGTTCTAATCAGCCGAGCCGTCTCAACCCTGAAGCTTGCGTCGACTGAATCTAGGCAGGCACGATCTCGTTCCAGCGAATAAATTAAATTCAGTGGCCACGTACGCGTACAGTACTCGCCAACAATTCGCGTTCCGATGGTCCCATATCCTACATCCCGCATCCACACGGCATCGCCAACTTTAAACCTCGTAATTTCGCGCGTAAACTTTCCAATGATTAGCGCGATATTAGTAAGTTATCGCAACGCTCGAAATCCGTATAGAGTTGCGCGAGACGGAAAAGCTGAAGAGAGGCGAGCGATCGCGTATTGCCGCGAAATATAATAGTGAAATAGAGTAGAAAGAAAGAGATTTTTCAAGGTCGAACGTAACACGCTCGACCCGAAGATTCGCGCAAAGAGTCCGTTGCCCTTGGCCCATCTCCAAATAAAACCCTTCGTCCCGAGGTGAATCAGAAGTGTCTCTCGGTTGGCAGTTGAGTTTAATTTAATTTTAGCCATGGTCCACCACCGCGTTAAATTCTCGCAGCCACCTTTAACCGAACCGCTTCGTGTGTTTTCGCTCCTTCCTGCCGCGTAAGAACACGCGTAACCACGGTGGCGGCGGTCTGTTTCACGACCAACGAAAACATCGGTCGGTGGTCGACGGAGATACGCGGAATCTAAGTTCGTGTAATATACGACCAATACAATTTCATAGAGAATAGTTTTTTTTTTTTTTTTACGGAAAAACAGATTTTATACGTCGCCGGTGGCTAATACCAAAACTGTTCGCAAAAGGAATGAAACAAGAACAGTTGTTTCGTTGTACATCTGAGATTCATGACTCACGGTCGATGTCGTTGATGCTCGAAATGATTGTAAACATCGGTACGTGTGTATGCGTGTGCACGTATCGATTCGACTTTGGTGTTGACATTTTTTTCCGCGTTATTCGAGCGATTACGGTCTTCCACGTAATTATCGAGCGCACGCAAACTGTGAACGGTACCAGCGAAATATTTCTAAATAATTTGTTTCGAGCCGTAGCAACGCAGAGTCTCTAGAATTGAAGCTCGCGAGTGGCACGGCTGAAAAAGGCACCTCTGTAACGCGGCATTAGCGACGATTAAACGCACACCCGCGTACGAATGATTCAATTATGAACAGTTGAAACGAAACACGTCTCGGTGACCGAATACACTCGTTACTCGTGCTGCACGTCAACGCGTTCCTAATAATAGTATTGCCGATGGCCTGCTGAAAGCAAGAGGAACCAGCTACCAGAGGCTAGAGTAACGGAGTGCGTTCACCGACGACCCTGTCGAACGACGCCGCGGCTGAGAACTGGGTTACATAGCCGCGAGTTTTCTACGAACCGTTCGCGCTGTTACTACTCGACGACGCGGGTCCCGCACGCAAATCACGCATTTTTTTCTGCGGATACACGCCGATCATCGACCAACCAGCGGCGTTTCGTCATCGGCAGCGTCGGCGACTTTTACACAGAAACGATAAATTATTCAGCAGCGATGCATTATCGCGTTACGACGGCGATTCTTGATCGCCGCGTCGCGAATGTTTGCCAACGTATCAGATTTTTATTCCGACGTTTTCTTATTATTTAACCACGTCTAGATTTATCAATCGCTATCGCGTGTATTTACAAACATTTTATCAAAGAAAATCCGCGCGCAATAAATACGCATCGCTCCTTAATGCGCGCGTGGGTATTGCACGTACGTATTTAAGGAACCAGAAAATAATGTCGTTTCTGCGAATGACGATACTCGTTGCGTATTAATTGATTTGATTTATTTCAATGTATACGGGCGTAGCTCGTTACGATATGAATACAGTGTAGCAATTATAAACAGCAATTACTTATTGATTTTTATTAATCCGGCATTGAAAATTTGCACACTAGATTTATTTGTTGGAATTTAATGAAACAAAATGAGATATCCCAAAATGTCTTGATAATGCTCTACGAGATACAACAGGTTATATATATATTTTTTTTTTCTCGTTTTCTTAATGTATGTTACTCGATTACGCCGAGATGGCTTGACCAATCGGAATGAAACCTGTTGTATCTCGTAGAGCATGTCTCCAGGATGGTGGCACTATCAAGACATTATATATATATATATACATGTCGAATTGAGTAACCTCCTCCTTTTCGAAGTCGGTTAAAAAACGACATTGCTTTCTGGTCCCTCTAATGCATTGTACATCGAGAGAAAAGCATCCCGAAGGTGATTGTCGCGTATCTTCCACATTTTGCTTATGGTCGCGAGCTCGTTAGGGATCAAGAACCGCTGCGTTAGACCCTTTGACTCCATCGCAATCCGCATACGTGACGCACTAGGTTTTTCCAAGACTGTACGCCGACGTTTGCGATTCACCAGCCGTAAGCGTTCGAAATCGATCGATATCCGCCAAACGGTCGGCATCGATCTAGGAAAATGTCAGGGTCGAACGGGTCGCTGGAAAGATATCGACGAGACGAACGACGCCTGTTATAATATCGCAACAGCTCCTCGCAATTTTACCGACGCGAAAACGTGGCGCGAATCGAAATCGACGCGACCGAGTCGCGATGACGGGCAAAGGCCAGACCCGAGCATAACTTGATTCCATTAAGCCTTAATTCGCGCCAATTCGAGCCGCCTACCCAGTTCGTTATCTCTCTTTCCACGCGAGACAGGGCAACTGTGTTAATTGGGAGCACATTCGTCTAGATTTTTCTCGCTCTAACGGAATCACGGCGAATCCGCGGATGGAAGGGGACACGGTATCGCACCGTCGGCATCGGTAAGCATTTTTGCTCCTTAAACGAAACTACGTTCGTTGCACCGTGTCGTCCTTCCCGATCAGCGAAATCAGCGTTAAGATTGAAAAGTACTGGGAACGCTTTCTAAAACCAGAAACACTTTCTAAAAGGCAACATCGTTTGAGAGTTCACACGTAAATCGGTTATTTAGACGCGAAGCAGCGGCGATGTCATCGGTTCGTTTTTTTTTCGCGTGAAATAAACCCCTTCGGTTGAAAAAAAGATAAACCTAACACGCAGTTAGAAAAGAAGGAAATAATCGAGGTTTTGCGTAATTCCGCAGACGGCAAGAGTCGTGGACACCGTTTGGCAACGTCGAGCAGCAATTTACTCGATCCGCTGCGCGCGACCGCGCGAGCGGCAGGCACACGTGACGCGTGTTATGATCCCGCGGCTACGTAATTCCGGATTGTCGTTATTCGAATAGAATTAATTGCCGCACCTGTGCGCCGAACGACAACGGGATCTCGGGCCGGTCCAAGTCCACGGTGCGAGGCCGGTTCCCAATTGTAACGTTCGAACCAACGCGTAACAGCTCGCCGATAAGATTAACGTCGAAGGTCTGGCCGTGATACGCGCGCGTCGTAGAAACACGCTCTCAACGGTGACGTTGCATCGCGACTCGCAACGTTCGCGCGTACCTAGCTGCGAGTTTTACGAGATCGGAACGTTCGTACCGCGTCGCCAACTTTCATCGTGGCCACCTCTGATAACATTATTCGCGCGTAAGGATGATTGTAGAAAAACGAAAGATGATTGTACAGTCGACGAAAGGTGGATAATTACGTTCGTACGTTTCGCAATGTTTCCGCGATATCGAAGAACAATTTACGCTACACGTGTGCACCTTGCGAAACAGAGGCCTTCGGTTCGCGATCGGCTGATCACCGTTCCTCTTCGCGTCACTTTTCCCGCCTCGTAATTCGAGCCACCACTTTCCCTTGTCGCGTAAAAACGCGCACGGGTACGGGTCGTTCGCGCACCGATACCAAATAAAATTCGACAATCCGCTCACCGCAGCCCCGGAGCCACGAGACGAGACGGATTCACCCCATCCGTTGATTCGGTCGATCCACCGCGTCGCGTGGCCGCGTTCCCGTCGATTCAGGAAATTTTCCAGCGCCGGGAAAATGCGGGAAAGGTTTTCCCAGCCGCGTAGAAAGGAACCCGAGAGAGCCGCGGATCGATAGCGAGCGGTACGATCGCGATGCGCCCGCCGCGTGTACGACAATGAAACGTTCCGGATTCGCTCGCCGATCCCCTGGCCTGGTACTACCTATTCCACCACCGAGCATCCGTGCACCCACACGCTGCCAATGAACACGCGTGTACGGTGTACACCTTCTCGTCCGCGTACGGACTACGGACCTCCGCGAGCGGCCGTACGCACTAGACTGACACTTTGTGTAACGACGATTGCTATTCTTTAGAAACACACGGTTTCTGCGTTCACCGGCCCGTGAATCCGTATGTACGCGCGGACCGCGCGATACGGACCGTGTAACCAACGACGCACACCGTCTCGCGTTAATCGTCTACCTTTCCGCGATTAATAATATTGAATTATGGGATCGGTTAAGGGGTGTATCCTGAATTTGAACGTCTAAAAAAAAGCGGTTTTTCGTGAATTTTTTTAGGATGGAAGAAAATAATTCATTCCATCGAACTTTTTATCGCGTTTTCATACATATTCGAGTAGTCCGTAGACATTTTTTCAACAAGAAATATTGAAATCGAGTCGACTGCGACGCACGTTTGTAGAGCATCTCGCAATTAAAACCTTCTATTGGCGGGAAAGATGCAGGTCGTGATTTTGGGTCGACGCAAAAAACATAAAACCAAAAGAAATTTTCATTTTCATACGTTTTTCTTCTATGCGAACTGAGAAAGACCCGCAAAAATTGTGAAATGTGAAATTACTGCGAGTTTTGACAAAAAAGAAGTACGAGTTCTTTGGGTGAAAAAGAAATCACTTTAACTTGATATAAAAAGCTGTTTAAAATTTTTTGCTGTATAAAGTTTCTAACCAAGTTCTCGAAAGACTAAATTCCTGGTCCAGTAAAAGTTCGCCGTCGCGAATTATCGATACAGCCGATAATTTGGACAAGACTCGCGTTCCGACGATCAAGGAAAACGTAAACGTAAACACTTAGTGGTGTAATATGAGACCATCGTTCTCATTCACCTAAAATAAAACACCTGTAACCTAATTCCGACGCCACCTAGACGAAATAATGCGTAATTCCTTCGGTAACGACTCTTCGAAGTACCGTGGCCGTTAATCTAATTGTTTTATCCGTGATGTAATCCCGCTATCGATACGTATCGGTTTCGAACCAATAACGCGACTAACAAACAATCTGTTTAGTACAGCTTTTTTTGTTAAAATTTACCTCTCGTACCATTTTCTCAAAAGACAAACATGCTGTGGGTCACGGAGGGCCAATCATCGGATCAATCCTCGGTTAGCTTGCAACGTCACCAAACGATCTCTTTGTGCCGGACTCGATCGATTTTAGGATCGAAATCGTTCTATAGCTACGCGACCGGTCCTCGTCGACCTTTATACACATCCGTTCCTACTTTCCGCCACGTAAAAATTCCCGAAGACCTTGAAAGGCCTCTCCTTAACCTCGACACGCCGACTGGCCAACTCGCTACGTTTTCATGCAACGGCGCACGTGTGTACGCGCGAGTACGTGCTATGTACGCGACGTAGTCGAGGGATCGTCCGTTGTAGCAAAATCGTCGCAGTCGCGTTACCATTCGCGATTACGCGGACCGATTATTAATAGCGAGTCGACGCTACGATAAATCGAGGAGGATAAATCGAGACCGCGAAACGACCAAAAAACGGTACCCTACTCTTGATTATTATCTATTTCCGGAGCGATAACGAATTACAGGAAGCGGTAAACGCGAAATATTAAAATATGGAATGGGAATAAAAAGAGCCTCGACGATCGTTATCGGTTCAGCCACCCCGATATCATCTACGAGCACTCTCTCCTAGACAGAAATATAACACGGTTGGCCGCAATTCGACGTGTTTTCGTGCCAACTATTATATATACATATCGTATATATAGGTCTGCCACCGTTGGATGCAGTTGTCCGACAAATTGCAGACACAGCATCGTAGGACCGCGTAAAGATGATCGAAACGCCCTCGATAAGAATTCTCGACAATTGAATTCGTTCTGGTAATCGAGAGTCCAAACGTAACTTCGACAAATTGCAGACACAGCATCGTAGGACCGCGTAAAGATGATCGAAACGCCCTCGATAAGAATTCTCGATAATTGAATTCGTTTCGGTAATCGCGAGCCTAAACGCAACTCCGTGACGTTCGAGAGTACGGACCGATTTCGACTCGAACGCGTTCGAAACGCGACTCCCTAATTCGCATTTCGCAGTCCGCGCGCGTTAGAAATGGTCTGTTTGCACATGTACCGGTTTCGTGCGAACGAGCACGTCTCCGAAGGACCGTTAAACACGGTGAAAATTTTACGAAGAAAGCACCGTCGCCGGATAATGGGTCAAGTCGGCGAACGCCGCTTTTACAACCAGTTCGCGTGTCTCTTCTCTTCTATGCCCGTCGCGTTCGACGATTCTGTTATTACGCGATGGTCGCGAGATCGACGCGGCCGATTACGTTCGCACGATATACGAAAAATTGACGATTGCAATTCTTTTGCACCGATGAAAACGTAGCTTTTATCAACCTTCTCGGTTCTTTGATGCGAGAGCCAAGCTTCTCTAACAATTGTTTCGATTTCCGCGAGTAGTTTTGGTTCGATATGTAACAGAAACCGACAGCACGTTGGCCATACGAGGCACGTATGTGCCTGTTCATGTTCATCGATCACAAAAACTCCGCGGCGTAGCTGACACAAACGTACGTGCATCGGACGAACGTGACACGTATGCAGGTACTCCGCATCGTGCCGGAATTGACGTTTGACGGAATCGACCAGAAAGAAACGAAACACTTATCGTACCCTCTGTCGAAACATTAACCGGTACCGTCCGATCGAGATAACGCTGAACGTTTCATTTATAAAATAGGTTACTGTTAGGAAATTTCTTGAATCCGCAAATATAAACGTTCGTATCTGATCGTCACAGTTTCTGCACTAGTGCGGATAAATAAGTGTTCTGCGGTTTTCAACGTTTTGTACCCAACCGACATCGACAGTGGAACTCTTACTCGTAGCGTTTCGTGCGCCGCATGCTTGTGCGCGTATAGCTTCAAGTCTGAACCTTGGTTCTCGAATCTATCGATAAGCCCGTATCTGCACGCTCTTCCATTCACTAAAATTAGAGACCATTTATCCCACGTGTATCGCGGTATATTTATAAATTCATTTCCGTTCACTCGTTCTAACAATAAGCCCGAGCGCGGTCAATATCGAACAGTTGGACCGCGATCATATTGCAGAGTCGAATTTGATTACACTCGACTTTTCAACGACTTACTTGGCTGGATAACCGAGAGACAAGTTGATCGTATGGTACGAGAACGCAAAAGTATCTGTCTCGTCCCGTTGTAATCGCGACGTGCACTCGTTTCCGAATACGCCATCGTCCGAGTTGACTGTGTACCGCAGTCCCGGGCTGATCGTGACGGTATCAAACTACTTTTTCTACCGCGACAGACCACGATCACTGCACAGTAGTCGACTCCCGGATAGATTTCGGTCAGACAGGCCGAACGCACACGGGCGCATTTGAAATTAGTGTTGCAAACCGTTTGCCCTCTTTGTTCTACCTACTGAATTAGTAGTTAAAACAAACCAGTTTCAATTAGTTTCAGAGTGGTTTGAAACCGATCGGTTGCGTCCGTGTGCGATCGGCCTAAACAAGAGTATCGTCCCTATAACTCGATTCCTCCTCGAGTCGAAACTTTATCCTCCCTTCGCGAAACGTCGACAAACGAAAAAGTAAACAAAAGCGAAGCCGCGCTAGGCACCTGGCACTTACAATTCGATACACGCGAATACAATTTGTTTCTTTACATTCTGTCGAAATTCCTATCTCTTTCATCGATAAGTTCGATCGTCGAAAGTCGAGAATCCTAGAAACCGTGTTCCTCTTTCTCGAGAAATCAAAATCGCTGTACGACTGTACGCAGAAAATCGAAATAAAAACCGAAATCATCTATTACGGTATATCGATTTAATCATCGGTCGTTGTTAATTTTCGCGCGATTCAACAAACAGAGTTGGAGTTTAGAGTTAGAAACAGGGAGGGAAGTACGTTTTCCGTGAATGATCGGAACCGACCGCGGTGTCGTAGGATTAGAAATACGTAAAATATACATTGACAGGAATCAGCAACAGTTGTTGACAGAGAGTGTCGATAACGCGTTTCTCGCGCATAATAATTAACGATCGGTCGGAGACGAATATAAACGTTTCGTCGAAGGGACCGTGTATCGTGCGTTATGGTCGCGCGAACCGATGAACTCGCGATTAGATTTATTTTGACTGAAACTCACCTTGGCCATCTCGTCGTGGGTGGGTCCTAAAGGTTCCTCCGATCCGAAACACTCTGATCCCGGGGGCGAACGATCCGGGTGCGATCCCTTGACATAAGTCGCGTTCTGGAAAACGGCGATAAATGGTGAGGTCGCATGCCCCAGTCGTTTTTTACCCCGCGCGACGCTCCTTTTCGATCGCGACCGTGTACAACATTCGTGGCGACACGTCGATCGCTTGCGGATGCCTCCACGCAGCGACGCTCCCGACGCCGGCGTCGCCGAGAACGACGTTATTGATCGGCGCCGTGCGGAGGCGTCGCTACCCGCGGAAAGGGAGAAGGGGGTGGAATTGCCAGTGACGGAGACAGCGCTCGAGCCTCGAGGTTGGATGACGACGTGGAGATGGAAATGACCAACCGGAGCGCCACCACCGAAAATCACTCCGCGAATATCCACCGACTCCTCGACCTCTCTCCCTTTGCTCTTAGTATCGAGTCATCCCCGTGCGAGCAACGCCAGTCTCCCTTTCTATTCGGAATTTCATTCCGAAAGGGAGGAATCGACTCGAACAAATTTCCATTCGCAGGACTCGAATTTTGTAATAATACGTCTGAAAATCCATTTAATCTGTACCTCCATTCAGTCTTTTTTTATCCGTGAATTTTGAAAATAACTCGTCGACCAGTTGAACAATTTTTCTCGAAATATGTTTTACAAAGACAAACACGTAATTCGTGGCACGATAAATACGTCGATGCGAACTTACCCAGTAGGACTCGTCCATGTTGATTGTAGCGCGTATCGTCGCACAATACCGGCATGACAGCATGGACAGGCAAACACGGAGAAAAAAAAAAATCATCCGTTTATACTTTGAAACGCAGTTTACGGAACGACGAATCCCGGTAAATGTTTCTCGTAAACAGACCAATGATTTTCGAGTAGTAGTCGACCTATGGTAACGCGCCATTCGAATCCGAAATATATCGATCGGCAGGATCCTTAATATTCTTCGTTAACCGCTTACCGTTAAAACGTAGAAACGTTGAATTATAAGAAAACGTCAGGAATAATTGAGGATATTATGGATATTTCATGCGTGTACATACATTGATCAACTTTCGAATCAGTGAAACTACAGTGTTGTTGTTTTTTTTTTTTTTTTTTTTCATTGGACATAGATACACAGATAGGAAATATTCTTTATTTATACTCGGTAGCTGCACAACACAGTAATTACCAGAGATGCAGATACAGTAGCAGAGAATGAAGGTTTCTAACGTCATCGAGCAAAGGGTCGATCGTTTCGTTTCGAAAGACAGGCGGAGAAAACGAGAGTACACCATACGATATATTCTAATCTATTCAAAATACCCTTCTTAACGATTTTCGTTATCTTATAACGATAGTAAAGCTGTACGATATCGGAATTTTGATTCCTTTGAGAAACTGTCACTAATCTGTTATACCACTGATCGTAATCAACGGTATCAGCAGTTTTACATACATGTTCGAACGATAAGCATCGCGACGGATAAGAAGAGGAATGCGTTTCTCAGCGCGTTTCGTCGTATTATCTCAGGTCCTTCGTTGACGATCTTTATAATTTTACAACTAAAATTATGTCATACGATATCGTACTTCTGGATCGCGACGGGCGACTACGCCTCTTATCATCGTCGTCTAGAATAATATGCACAGTGAGCGATACTTTTATCCTCCCCCCCCACCCACCCACCCAAAAAAAAAAAACGCAAAGGAAATAGCGAAGAAAAAGGCCCGCGATTATCGAGTCTGAACGATATATTACGTGGAATGAATTCTGAAGATGTACTTGTTTTTTTACAGCTAAAAAAATTTATTTACACTGACTGACATCTAAAATGATCCCGAATCTCTCTCCAAATCACCGTTTCTAAATAGTCGATTCATATACATTCATATATATACATATACGTCGTTCTCTGCAAAATCATTATATTTTTAGATATATTTCTACATTTAAAATTCAGAACTATACGTAGAAGACAGATTTTACACGTAATGTTGCAACACATTGAAAACGTTTTAACGCTATTTGGCAAACAATATATCCATTTGCGTCGTTACATACTATATTATAAGGCGTGTATACAGTATAAAAAGCATCCAAGGCACATATATATATAAGTAATATATATTGTATAAGTCAACGTTATAGTTATTTAATGTTCTTTATGCTTAAATAATGTTAACTAGACTTTCTCTCATATAATAGTCTAAAAAAATATTAATTAAGAAGTAATATCCGGTGAATTGGAAACGAGATTCGCGATACATGGTGTTTTCGTTAACAAAGAAATCAAGAAAGATACCAACCAAGAGTAAAATCTCCAAGTACAGGTATTACATAGGTATGTAACTACTCATACATACATCTTGCGATAAAGCATTTGTGCTCGTTACGAGTGCGACAAGCTCGGCATACCTAAAACATTAATTCACATCTACCTCGATCGATGTACACGTTTAAAGACTTTATAAATATCAATTACAATCTACAGAGTTCTTGGTGAAAAATATTTTTCTCTTTTTAGCTGAATAGATTTCACAGATGATCACGAATAAATGGTAAGTGGAACGATAAATATTCTTCTGAATGAATATTTTTATTCATCGTGTATAAGGTCATCGTATGTTTCTCATAATGGGTTATTGTCATATTTCCTTGTACGGCTTGCATCGGTGGATCTGAAGTCTCGTTACATTCATTAATCCGATGGAGCAAAAACATTTATCATCGTTGATCACCCACACGTAATTTGCAAAATTTGGTAGCAAAGAATCACAGCTAGGTACATCGACAAATAAGTAACAGCAAGCGGCAGTGACTTTTGTTCCACAATTTTTCAAGCACTCTTAGATAGCGTTATATAATCTGTATACCTTCTTCGGACTTATAATTGAAATGTACATAAGATATATATAAAAGTAATTCGATGAATAGTTATAAATTTATCAGCAAGCCAGAAGATCATTTGAATATACATTGTGCCACAGGTATATTCCCCTTTGATAGAATAACTCAAATTTGTGCTTAATCGGTAGTTCCTGTGTATTTTTATGCAAAATTAAACAGGAAGTCGGTGTTTGCGAATAACTATACATATATATGGCGAAACTATTGTTCCGTCATAAGTACATAAGAAAATACAGTTAAGACCATTATTTATAACAAATCATCCATGCGTAATAATTTTCAAGTAATATGAAATATTTTCGATATAGTTGAATACGAGCTAAATATTCATATGACCTTTCTAGCTCGTTACCGAATGTATGTGACACGCAATTCTCGCGTACAATATTCTATGTGAAACTTTCAACGTGGTTCGATAGCTTAAATAAAAGGAGCCACATACATACGATTTTGGCACTTTTCAGAATTCTACTCGTAAAATTTTCATCGTTTTGTACCAAGTATAACACCAATTATTTCAATTGCACGCGACGCCATATAATTAGTATATTCTTTATATGTACAGAATCTTCTGTTAATCTTTGAAATTTGCAAACACTTCTGAAAAGTGCAAAGCTAATATTTAATTCTTATATTACACTCATATCTGACGAATAGCAAGTAGACGACTCTATGTTAGTTGTCACATTAGTTTCTTATAAGGCTACATCCAAAGGCTTACATTACACGAATGTTAGGGAACGTTGCACAAAAAATATTCTTTATACGCATTGTCAAAGTTAATATTCCAATACGTCATCGGATGCAGTTAACTTTCAAACGTCAACGTGAGATCAGCATCTGATGTCTATATTGAAATATTAATTGCATTTCTATTAGTCAAATCGAACATAATTATCCTTAGATTATACTCTTTATAGTAATAAATTTGAATAGTCTAAGGCTTGTTTAGGCATAAATCAGATGCTTTAAAAGCACGCGTATCGTGTTTAAAATCGTGAACATTATAATATTATGTCGTTAAAATCTGAATCATTTGTCTCTATCGACTGGTAATCAATTTTTTCTTCTATATCGGTTGATTTGTCCAAATACAATCGTAAAAATCTCGAAACAATTTAACAAAGCATTCGCGATATAGCATTGGCAAATATTTCCACAATAATTTTCCATACAAAATAAAGTATTAGGAGTAGTCGAATAGATTTGAAAAATATGATTCTTCACATATTTTTAACTATAATCCTCTCCCTGTATAACAGCCAAAAGTTGCACAACTTTTACGTGTACATTGCGATCTCTCGAATCTCTATACCAAGGATCACATTCAATACTTATTGACTTTTGCAATCCTTTATTTTCACAAGAATTATATTATCAACTTCCTCTGTTACTTACTGTAAGGTAAGTCGCATCGCGACAGCATTCCTTCCCTTACCACTCTTATTACTTTTCCTTAAATTTCTCATAATGTCTACATTAATATCGCACTATATAATATTAAAAACTGCTCTTGAATCATCAGGTTTTTTTCTACATTTCACTATTTTTTTTTCTCCTTGCAATTAAACACGAAACACAAATTATGACACAGAACTTATAGCATTATGAGGAGAACCCATTTGTGTCAACACTTTATCCAACCACTGTAAGGGTCCGTGTAAGTGTGCCTCGATCCAGCACGGAGTCGACGTAACGTCTTGACGATGATACTCTGCACCCCATCCTTTAACAAAGGACATTCTGCAACAAATATAATATGTTTATATATGGTTTATTTGCAACCCTAACTATTAATTTTACAAGTCGATATAAATTTTACCTTATAGTACACATTTTCGTTAATTCATAGACAGCTTCAAAACCGTGATTCACGCTTTGCGACAGTAGTTGGGCAAATTCTTGGTTATTAAATATCTTCAATGAACATCCTGGTGGAATCTTACAAACTGTACTAGGATGAAACCCATGATGATGATTACAATTTCTAGATTGCACAAATATAGCAGAATCGGAGAGGCATTCCGCGTATACTTCGCCGCCTACATAATACAGATGTACTCCTTTGCCTATATGCCTTCTTGTGTTTTCAATAGTAGAATTTCGATTAACATTAGACAACTGTCCAAGACAAAAACGGTCAGAGTTGTTGCTTGGATTTGTGAAACCATCCACGATAACAGAGTGAGAATGGCAATGAAAAACTTCACCCACTCTACAATTTAATTCGTAATACGCGATAGAAGCCCAATAAGGCGGTTCTTGGTAACACACTGGAGCTACTTCGGATGTTCCGCTTGTATCCATTGCTACTGGATCAGGTGGTGGCGACTGTCCAGGTTGCGAACCATCTTCGGGTGGAGAATACGCCGGAGGTGGAGTTTCCGGCAATCCATTAGTACCATAAGGACTTTGCGGATTTGGCGATGTTGTACTTCCTGGACTTGGAACAGATCCAACAGAAGACATAGGCGAAGTTGGATTTACACCACCAGTGGATCCAGCATTGAATCCACTAGAAGAATAAGACACGTTATGCGGCATTGTTGGTTCCGCTATTTGTTGAAATGGTAACAACGAATGTCCTGGAGCATATTCTGAATGCCTAGGAACCAAAACTGGTGGTAGTACTGGACTCTCCACTCTTTTATAATGGTACGGATTAATGCAAACTTCTTTTTGTTTCGCAGAGAAAGGGTACTGACATAACTCCAATGGTTTCAATTCGTGGTGTGACTGCAAATCTGGCCATCTCCATACTCGACAATAAATTACATGTGGTAAACCCTTACGATGTGAAACTTGCAGTCTACCATCTAAACTTCTTGGAATCGTTACACATTTGCTAGGTGTGCCTGGACAACTTAAAGCATGTTCTAATTCTTCTATTGCACCTTTTCGTTTTTTTAACTTTTTTACTAACGAATCCACTGCCTTTTCCGCCCATTTTTCCTCTTCGTCGCCCTGTTTCCAACCGAGCAACTTTTTTACAGCGGGACTAGTAAACGAAAATAAACTGTTCAACGAAGACATAGGTCCAGAGCTTGACGATCCTTCTTCATCATCCATGTTAAAAATACTGTAATATATAAGCTATCTTATGCTGTTCTTATGGTACCTTTGTTCCTAAACAACCTGTAATTCAATAGAGTCCATCAAGTTTCCTGGTTTTAAAATTTTTAGAATTTCCTAATGTAATTGATACAAAATAACTCTTGTATCTTTCTTGCTATCTACGTTCGATACGGAATACGAATGTATCGGTAATGCTGCTAGAGTAAAGAAACAAATATTGCGTTACATGTGAGGTTAGACGTTTCTAAAACGCTCCTCGCAGAGTTTATAGGATACGAAATTGTAGCAGTAACATATCGGAAAAATGTGTTTCGAGAGGATACACGAGAGAAATTATAATTAACTAGAAATGAATTGCATACATACTTACGTAGAATTGCCTAGCGATCCAGCATTGTTTTTACTACAATCTCCCACTCCTGTTACCACATTCTTGACGCCAACCTCTCGCCATCGCAATCAAATAAAAATATCCGTAAATTTATCGATTCCACACCTTGACTTTATCGTATTCCTAATGACAACAGTTCTACGAACACGATAAACATCTAAGCAAATTTTCTTCTAATACAGTATAGCCACTCGCAGCGTTCATAATCTTTCTATCTCTCTCTTCCACCTTATCTTCTCTCCGTCTTTCAATCTCGTTTCCGTGGCGGTCAGGGTATTTGCAATGAGCAATAGTTAACAGAGAACATTCAGAATTTCAGACAGCATTCGCAAACTTTCTCGCGTACTCACCGAAATCGAGCATCGAAAATTTATTTTTACCCAGCGAACTGTTTCATGGCGATATTTATTTTTTTTTCTTCGTTTTTAATATGCAGTCTCAACAACAAATATTTATCCGTAGAAAGAACAAAACGTCGTATAACAGTGTTATGGCGTTCGAGAACATCATGGCGCCGTGTTTACGAAGACCGAACACGGCGAGAAACTGTACACTTTAACTATATTTGATGTACGTTGCCAACAATTACTCCAACTTCACTGTCGTTTTATATTTACGTCGATAATCGAACTTTTCTCGTCCGTTGTATTTCTAATATGCAAACATTGTTTATCTATATACGTTCACGTATAACAGTAATATGCACTCATCGTGCTACGCAACGACAATGTATTCAACGATAAGGGCTGATCGTAGATCGTAGATGACTCACTTGGAAAAAATGTTACATTAGAAACTGTTACGAAACTTTAGCAATAATAATAAAAAAAAAACGTTGTTTTACATTATTTTGTTACATTTTTATTGTTACGTGTCGTTAATTTGTTCAAATTATCGTAAGTGATAAAATTGTTTCGTTAATTTCACGTTTCGTAAGATCGATCAAAGAATAAAAAACAAAAAGCCGTGATTGGTACAAGCTGAACGCAGAAATGGAGGGAGATTTGATTGTTTCAATTGTCGGTTACAACTATATATATAAAACACGATGTATTTACATGGTAAAAAGTTACACAGTGGTACATAATCTGATATACATGGATTTTTATTAATAAACGTACTGCTTCGCCAGGGCTCTCAAAAATTTTGCTTTCCGAATATTTGCTGCCTCTCGCTGTATCTCCTCGTTATTATTGGAATTTAATTCCAATAAGCCGATTACTTTAATCTAAAATGATAATTTTATATAAATTGGTTACTTTATTCGAACGAAAAAAGACTGTACAATTACTAACCGCCAGCTGTTTCCTATGATGTTCTCCGCGTTTTGTGTGCAAATGTATAAGATATTCGAGTATCGTCGTATCCCAAATACAATGATAATATGCATCCATAGCATCAGCTGAAGCACAACTTTTTTGGTCACTCGCTGCCATTTTAAATGCTAAAGAATAATCTACCTCCTCCAAAAATTGGCATAAAACAGCAGCTTGAGTGTAACACTGTAAATGAGCGCAACACTTAATCATACGTCTATAAACAAGATCGTCGATCTGCAAACGCGGTACTGGTTGACTAAACAGATCGCTAGCCACCATAATAGCTTCCAAGTACGATTTCATAGCGCTCTCGTAATATCCTAAAACTAAAAGTAGATTGTATTAATACATTTTTCTAGTAAGTAAAGGTTAACATTCTACTAGTTTAAAACATACCGAAATTAAGATCTCCTAACAATCTCAACCAACAAACATTACTCGGATAATATTTCAGAGCTTGTGTTAATAGTTGAAATAATAATTCTCCGATACTTCTGATGTTATAAGAATTAGCACTGCAAACCATTTACATATGATTATAAGATAACATAAATTCTGTAGCATGTGAAAACTTACTTTGGTACACCAGCTGGCCAAAGGGAAAGATATTGTGTATGTAATTCAAGGCTCGATTCATCGCGTAAAACGTTGCGTAAACGTGCTAACAATGATATAACGACAGTAAGAACCATAGGTTCGCGTAATCTACTTAGAGTACTTCCTATGCTAGCAATTACATCTCTCGAAGCACTACCACTACTAGTTCCGCTACTACCACTGCTGCTACGTTTCTGAGGTTGATCTCTGCTTGGGCCAAACGCAACTAAAACTAAAAATGAAACTATTTAACATTTCACGGGAGTTTATAACGTACATTACTATATAATACTTTTAAAACTAACCCATGTCCCATGCCTCTCTTGGAAATTTTCGTCCTCCTTTGTACTTGACGATATCTTGACAAACGCTACTAATAGCTGCCGCAAATTCAGTGTAACTCCAGCGTTTCTCTAGACTTGTAAGATAGTCCCATTCAGCCATATTTAAAAGAAAGACAGTGCAATATTCGATAATTTCTTGTCGTGGAATAATTTGATCTGCTGCTTGTAATGTTCCAAGACATTGTTTACATCTTGCGACCAAGCTCTGTGTATCGCCTATAATGGTTTTTTATTTTTTATGTATTTCAATCATTATAATACATTATTAAGTTATTAAGATACTCACATATATTTGTTGCTGGCCAAGCATGGAGGCACCTCCATATTTCAACGAGGAGACATTCCCAGTTCACTAATTTACATAACTTAAATATTAACGTGTTACCGCTTTGCGAATGTTGCTGTGCCTCTTTTTCTAACACAGTTAAAATTTCAATTGCTCCTTCAAAATCTTTCGACATTACCAATTCTCTACTTTTCGCTAACAATACATACGAATAATCTTGAAGAAAGCCCCTAGAAAGGGACATTACGACACTCTGTAATGGAATGGGTAATTCCCAACAACTATTCACGTGCCATAAAGGTTTCATTCGATGTTTTCCATCCAACTGTATCAATATTTCGTGAATCTCGCCAGTGTTATATGATTGTATTAATTTTTGCTCTAATTTGAACATTTCTATTCTTGTACTTTCTAAAATTTTTAAATTTATCATTATAACGTAGTCGGAATATTAATTGATACTTCAAGCTACATAATTCATTCTTGTATGTACTAACGGGTATATGTCACTAATTGTACACCCCAGTCATTCTTTAACAATAAATCGGGTAATTCGAGTTCTTCGGCAGCGACTGATTTTCTAATTTCATCCAATTCCCTTTCATTAAATAATGCTATACACGAAGGATCGCCAAGTATTTTAGAAGCAATTCCATCGACATTGCTTGTATGTACGAGATAGAGAAGATAACGAGAAATACGTTGTTTATCTATACCAGATGTCTTTTCTAAAACATTTCCAAGAGCCTAAAATGAACCTTATATAATACGAATAATTAAAGAATAAATAGAAATATTTAAAAAAAAAATTGTTACCCAGAAAAATACATCAATTCCTTTGGCACCAGCTTCTTGGATTTCTGTCACATAATCACCAAGAATAATACTACCATCCAAAATTTTTCTAACCAAATTCAAACACTGAATTTGAAGTAAAAGGTCACGAGCTACTACAAGCTTTCTGTTAACAGATCCTCCTTGTATATCAAGTTCTAAATTATCCCTGAAAACTTGTGGAATTTCTCTTGAAATATTGTCTGTTTGTAGAATTTGTAGTATATTCTGCAAAATACACTGGATACGGTAACACAGTTTTTAACAATCACTCAAAGATACATACAGTGTACTGATCTTTAATGGATGCTTGCAATTGTTGAGTAAGACTTGAAGTAATTCCATCTACAGGTACTTCGCATGCTAAGCAGCAACCATCTAAAAATTCCTTTTGAACTTTACAATACAACCTATCCTCAGAGTTATCAAAGTTATAAAATAATTCTTTTGCTTGTATGATATGACGCTTTGCTTCCTGATACTCTTCTTTCAATAAATGATACCTTGTTAGATCGTAATGTATCTAGAAAAAAAAGAAAGAAATGTTTAAAAAGTCGGTAATGACAAAAAATATGTTATGTTATTAAAATAATACCTGACACTTAAATTCTTCTAATTTTATGGGATACATCTTTTCCCAATTTTGTTTTATTTCTGTGCTATCTTCGGTTAGCATTTGAAAAGTATCAACAGACAACATTTTTGGATTTAAATCTGTATTTTCTAAGACACTGTTTAAAACATTTATGCTATTAGATGCTTGAGCTTCTAATTTCCTAATTATATCGTCTATTACACCAAGTGGTACATATGTTGATTCCTGAATACCTGGACTGATGTATAGAATAACAGAATAGTACAAAGAAAAATAATTCACAAAGATTTCCATTAACTGTAAATGTTTAAAATCTTACATATGAAGAAACTGTTGCTTTGTTTGTTTATTATTCAAGGCTCTGTAAGTAATTGCTCTTATGTGCCATCTATGACACAGAACCATTGTAAACAAAACTTGATCAGAAATTGTATTTATTGAAAATTCAGGTACACCAGGTATTTCAACAGTCAGATTCGATGTTATATAAAGAAGGTCTTGTAACAATGTCATTTGTATTGGCAATGGTAGTTTTCTTTCTAGTATGTCCAGATCCCATTTCAAATGTGCTGCTACTCTTAAAGAGAGAATCTTTAAAGCCAAATTTCTGTGGCTCCATTTATTTGTAGTGGCAGGCTTTACTTCGTTCGTCTCTGTATCAACAATTTTTACTTCGCTTTCTTTCTGTTCTGAATTTATTGTCATAAATTTTATTATCAAGTCTGTAGCCGAAGGATCTATGATAAAAGTAAAAATGTAATTAAAACAGTAATTCGATTAATTATCTTTCACTGTTTACGTTGAATGTGACATTTAAGGTTAGGTTATTATTTACCAGGAAAGGGTTTAGATAAATGTTGCTCCAACAATGATGGATTTAAAAGAAATTCAAACCAGAGAATTGTATCAGGTGAAATCGGCACTGTGCCTGGTCTTAATAAATCTACATCCATTACGACATTAATTTGACGTGCATAACATAAGCAGAAAAGACACGATGGTTTTATTTTGATTACCAGTGGCGCCATCGGTGGGAAAACGCCCAAGTTTGTAGTGAAAATAATTCCCATCATATTTATAAGATAGCGCCATTGACTATAATTGTCGTAGCCATCTAGTGTTGAAGAGAAGAACTAATTTTCGAAGTTTTGTCAGCGCCTCTATCGGGAAAACGCTCAAGTTTGTCCGCGAATAGTTCCTATTTGTACTAATAGATGGCGTTATTTTTATTTTAATTGCAGTCGCCATCTAGCGTCAAGAATACAAACTAACTTTACTACAAACTTGGGCGTTTTCCCATCGATGGCGTCACTGTTACTAACGAAAAAGGCGCGTCATTCTAATAAGTAATGTTTGATCAATTACGAACACATAGTGCAACTTCTCACGTATAAATTTGTTGATTAGTAAAATTACGGAATCATGGTAAGACTAACTACCGAATACATTGAAAGAAAATGTTCTCAAGCACAGTTAAACAAATCTCTCAGCAAAAAAATAAGCAAAGATGAATTATATGGTTTAACTCACTTACGTATGAACAATATGTTTATCAACAGCATTGTAAGTTTTTCCTATAGGATAATTTAAAATAATTCTAAATAATATTGGTAAATAATTACTCGATTATAGGGTAACTTTGCTGTTTATAGAAATCTCAAAGTAATATATTTACAAAATAACAATATATCTACAATAGAAAATTTACAATTTGCAACGAACTTGACTCACCTCTACCTGCAATACAACATAATAAGCAAAATAGAAAATTTAGATTCTCTCGAGAAACTTCAGACACTATACTTGGGGTACAATAATATAGTTGTAGTAGAGGGTCTTGAAAGTTTAAAGGAATTAACTACTCTAGACATTAAAAATCAAATGTTAAATATTGGAGAATGTCTATGTTTCGATCCACGAAGTGTACACACTTTATCCGTAAGTATTTCAAAGAATTTAGGGTCATTTTTTATGCTCATCCATTGCACTACTTTCAGACTTGTTTGAAAATACTCAATATCTCTGGCAATAAAATGAGATCCTTAAAGGAAATCAAGGATCTGAACAACTTAGAAGTTTTAGATGCTAGAAACAATTTTTTTGACGATATCGACGATCTAACTGAAAGTATAAGCGCCTTGATTTCTCTAACAGACTTATATTTGCAGGGCAATCCTGTAACTGAATATTATAGATACAAAGAAAATCTTATCGCGAATAATGATACTATAAGTATGTTCATACTCAGATTTGTACTTGCATCTGCATTTGATTCCAAAAAGTATTAATTTACAGAGAATATCAATGGGAAGATGGTAACAGATATATGTCGTTCCTTTATGAAACGATTTAAAATGGAAAAACATCTTCACCGTACAAAGAAATCTTCGAGGACCACGTTAAACGAAGATATTACGAGTATGAAAAATAAAAAAAATTCAAATACTTTATATAAAAAGATATTTACATTGCAGGTCTGATAGATTTTAAATCAACCTTTGTTCTTTCTAGATTCCTTGAAATTACCACCTGCTTTTCAAAAATCAATATCTAGAGCATTATTTCAACAACCTGCACCACAACTATCTATTACGATTTCATCAAGCATTAGTGAAACGCAACCACAAATATTTCCGTCATGGAAAACAGGTATGTTGAAATAAAAAACCATCCGTTTTGTCAAACGTTACTAATGATGAGTCGATTGTTACAACTACTTTAGCATCAGGAACAAAAACTGTAAGACACGGCCATATCACACCAAGACCATTCTGGAGTAATATAATTAAAACAAAGCAATCTCATGTGCGACCATTGATGAAGAATAAAGCTATTAAATTACCACAAATATAAATCACTTGCAAACAGAAAATAGAACAACTTCTTGTGTAACATTTAATACATTCCTCATTATTCACCTTCACAACGTTACAACAATGAATTCGAAAAATAACAAACTACACATGTAACATTGCACAATATAAATTGTGTATAATATTGGATACTATACATATATGCATGCAAGAAAACAGATTCTTTTAATTAGATGTGTGTTCTTATTTATTAATATTCTTTTTTAGAAAATTATTTATAATTCATTATATATTTTTCATTGATGTTTAATTTTTTTTTATAATATGCGCACTCTATTAAATAATTACCATTTAAATTATTCATTATTATGCTGGAAAGTCGTGTACAAGATAAAAATAAAATCTATAATAAAATTTCGCTGAAATACATATATGGCAGACTATGTAAAAAGCTGACAGCAAACTAGATACAATAATATTTTATACAACTTTCTAGCATTTAAGGCAATGTTTATATCATATAAATGTGCATATAACGTAATGTTCTTTATATCTAATTGTGAAATAAAGTACATCAAAGTTCATGCGTGTAAAACAATAATTCAATTTAAATATAACAAAACGTGCATAGTTAAATAGTTAATGCAGATATTCTTACGCGCGAAATACCATTACAGTATAATTATGACATTATAAAAGTATAGTATTAAGTATATAATATTATAATTATTATGTTATCACTAAATAAACAACAGAAGTATTAAAGTACAAAATACTAGTAACTACGGTTGTACACTGCTTGAAGATACATATACGTGTAACTTTTAAAGCTTGACTTTGTATGCTCGGTAAAGCATATAAAGCACACGAATCTGACACGTAGCGAAAACAAGTTTAGTTTAGGTCATGAATCGAGCATAACCGCGTAGCAATTTCTTCGAGCAGAGCTGGTATAAAATTATGACAATTATATTTTTATGAAAAATTAAATAAATAAGTTCTAAATGACACAGGTATTTATAGTACATACTTGTTAGTCACTATAAGCATGGAATGTTAGGTACAATAAAAACAAATATATAAACTATAATATTACATGGTATAAAAGGTACAAGTAGAAAATCAATTTCTTCTTTATCGTAACTTTACTGCCTTCTGTCATATCGAATCATTAAAAACGATTTATGAAATCTGTGTATATGAACTGCTCATAAATAATGTTCAGGAATAAAAAGAACTAATACAATGGTTGAGCATGACTTAAATTATGTGCTAAGGCTACGAAATAAAATGAGATTACTGAATCGTTATATTTTATAACATTCGAATATTAGCTGCCAGCGTATAACAAATCTAACTTACAAGACAAAATGCAAATTGCACGTAGACGCTTAACGATTATCCTTTGTTCTACATACCACATACCACATACCCTATGATAATTCTATACGACAAGAGGAAATTATTTACTCTCGAAAAAAAAAATAATGAACGTAAACAGCTAAAATCTAACTTTTTTCCAAAACTAATAGATACATGAACATTTAATCCAGTTAAGTTTATGTAAAAAGTAGAAAAGTAAAAAAGGTTAGTTTATAATTAACACGTGAAAATATTATTTAGCATTACAGAATAAATGCTTTGTGCAAATGCAAGCGTAATATACATGTAATAGTTGTTTGAACAACATTTTGAAGAACAAAGGTATAAACAAGCCTCGTACAGTGTAATATGCGTATCTTAATGCTGTTTCACAATTTCCGCACGTATAATATACATATTATTCATACATAAGTATGTGAAGCTGCGGTATGCTTTAATATTTATATATAGCATTATTTCTTCAAAGAAATGTGATTTGAATCTTAATAATTTTATTGTAGATTCAGGTTATCAGCCTTTTCTCCTTCTTAGCATAATTTCTCACGTTTTATAAAATAATTAAATAAACTATTGAACAAACAAAATCTTATATATGAAATTGTAGTCTTAAAACCACAAAAGTTACAGCTAAATTTAGACATATACGCTGACCAATGCATCATAGCTCTTGGTATGAAGTTAGATACATATAATTTATTATCTTACAAAGTTGGGCAAAATCCTCGATTACGATTATTTGCAGTTTTCCAACATTGTCCAACATTTTCCAAAGAAGGAAACGACACAAACAATGGCAATAAACTTCATGTAACCTTAATTTAAGGGTTTTGCCACAAACTCTGTTATCTTACCCATATTTATTACTAATAATTCTTATCATTCTTGAAGTGTATAATTTAACAAAATCTACATAGTTTCCGAATACACATTTTAAATTATTAAATAAAAATTGTATACAATAGCAATGTCCGCAACATATATTTTTCTTTCTATTTTACATTGCTGGGTACTAATATTTTAGGTTATTGGAAACTTTGTAGATTTTTTTCTATTTTCGTCAGACAGGTATAGATATTTATATTATTATTTAAATATATTAATATTTTATATTTAGAGGACTTTGACTTTGTCACGTAATAAACGTCACGTAAAAATTTGTTTTCAAGAAAAAAAGTATGTCACAAATAAGTAATGAGACTATACAGTAAAGTATTGCGGAGAAGCTACGCTTAAATCGCATGAAAGCGATGGAAAAAGTATTTTTTTGTATGCCTGTCACTTATGTACTATACATATTTCGCTATTACTTTCCATGTATTCGTCTTTGAGTAAATCCTTTGTATCAACAGACTCATGAAATTACACTAAACGTGTAATCGTTATACGTGCTTGTCGTACTGTGTATTTTTATTTATATGTATAATAAATGTATAATCCGTTTAGATATTAATAATATACTTAAATATCTTTAATTTCTCAAAACATTTTTCAACTGTAATATTGTTTAGAATTATATTCGTTCTTAACTATATTAGGCTCACGGAAAAAGTTTTAAAAATAGAAATTTTAACTATAACGGAAAGCAAGTCCGCGAAAACGTAAAAAAATAAAATAAAAATGAAGCTTATTAATACTTTAGCGTATGTATGTAATGTCCGAACAAATTTTTATACGAGTGACATACTACATTCGTCACACGCAACATCGCATGAATATCATGATTTTATTTACTATGAAACAGTAATGTAAGTTTATGGGGCACTCTGTCTTATCTTTATAATTATTATCAGATAATTTTTTGTTTACATGAGTACATGGGTATGTATACACAATATGTATACACATGCGTACACCTCTGTATATGTAAACAATAGATACTCTGAATATGAACACTAGTTTACGATACTAGGTACCTCGATTTTTTTCGAAAGAAACACGGTTCATGTTTCTTCCTGTAGTAACTTGATTTTTAATCAAGTTCAAGCTCGTGTTATTGGGAAACATTTGCTATAAGAAATCATGTTTTTCAATTCTTAGAGAAAAGATATTAATTTTGACGTACTCGATTACAATATAATACTTAAATTGTTAATGGCAATATTCGGTCCGATTGTTTCCCGTGCATTATTTAAATACACGTCAATGTACGATAATTTAATTTTCTAGTTTTTACAGCTACCAACATTATATCTTTTAGATAAAGAGTGCCCTTTGTTTCTTACAAAAATGTTTTAAATCGGTTACTGCGCCGTTTGCTGTTGAATTTCTATTTTTTCTACAGTCATATCGGGATTCATTGCAGTGGCTTCTTGAATCGCTTCTGCCAAAGCTCGATCGTGATCAATTGGATCACCATCTGATTGTATCGTTATTTTTTGTTCTACTCGAGTTTCTACAACTCCATCTCGTTCAGTTTTGTACTAAAATGACGATAATATAAGGTTTGGTATCGTAAAAAAATGTAAAATGTCAGTATAAAATGCAAGTATAAAATCTTACCGTTATTGTTTCAACAGTACGAGTTTTACTGGATATTGTTTGAGAACTAACTATTTCTCCGGTTGCACTGTACAAACCATCTTCACTTTCTACAGCTACTTTCCTAGTTTCAGTTGCTACTAATGGAACTGTCGTAGTTGTTGTTACGTTATTCTCCGGCTCTCCTTTGTAAACATGTGTTTCAGTCGCCACAACACCAGCCGGATCACCCTGAACAAAATGCAAAGAATCGCATTTCTTTTACAAGCAAAGTGAAAATTAAAGAATATTTTACATTAATACCACAGAGTTATGTATATGTTAAATAGATGATATACTGTAAAACAAAGTCTTATTAAAGTATTAAATCCATTATGTTAATTGTACGAACTACTGATTCTACCTTAAAACCAGTGCTTTTGAGGTAATGAAAACATTATATTTTTCATGTTGCAATTGTAAATGTTACTTTTTATATTCCCATGAGTGTTAAACAATGAATACCAATATAAAGCGAGTAATTATGTATGCTAGCATTAAGTAATGTATCTTAGATTGTATATGTATGTATTTTGTATAGAGCAAATTAGCATTAATAGCATCCTTTTAACAATTATCATTCACCTTGAAAATGCTTTCAACATTTTATATTGTGCAATAAAAATACACAGAAAAACATATACCTCGATGAAGATCCACTCACGGACTGATTCTCAAAATAATATTTTAATTTATACTTATATCGGTAAAGATTTTTTGTGAAGGCCCTCGATAATTGTCAGATATGATTATTCCGCCCCTAAAGATTTACCTGATAATATTGATTGTAGAAAGCCTGTTGATCATCTTCAAGGTCAATTGGAGTACCTGAATCATCACTGCTTGAACTGGATGTACTGAGCCTTCGTGAGAACAGCTACACCATGCAATGTGTTAGCCAAGCCGGTAAAAATTAATTACAAAAATAAATAAAAAAAAAAAGTAAATGGAAAATAGCATGGATTAAACTTTATAAATTAACCAATATTATGTACGTATCGAGTACTACCGTTTCCTCTGTCTATATTAATTGTATGATTCTGTTATATGTATACTGAATGCGTGTATAATTTTGATTTATTTATACATACGATATATATTACAAATGAAATAAAATTGTATGATCTAAATGTATAGAAATCATAAGCGTATCATGATGTTATGGAAATATTCGCAACATTAAGGTATTTAAATGTATGTGCAATGATTATATTACTAGCAAGTAAACAGTGGTATATTTTAATGATTTAATGTTAGAATCAATCGAGTATATGACATATGATAATTTACAAAAATGATTACATGCTTCATCCATTAGGGGTGAGCTGTGTATGTTTTTAAACTGTAAATGTACTATTACCTGTTCACCAGAAAGTACATGACTTGTTGTTCGAACTTCTTGAGTTACTACTCTCTGCTCCTGTCTTGTTGCACTGGTCGCAGTTGTATGTGCTACAGTCTTTTCTTCTACCTAATGTAAAAAAAAAAAAATGATACAAAAATAATTCTAGCTCTCGATATTCAATATTAAAAGAAAATAAGAACGTATCGTAACATGTTGGAACTTTATTAATACACCGATAATTTATGACAACAGTACAAACCTGACTAGTTTTTTGATTCTTTTCGAGGTCTTCATGCATTGTAGCAGTACGCGTGGTAACAGCAGTCGCTGTCATATACGGGGCTCTACCGTCATCTGGTGCCTCTGCCTAAATACAACTACAAGGTGACTAATGTCTTATAATAAAGGAGCAACGTTTGTGTCATATAAAACTAGAACAAAATACGTGAGTATTATAACGAGTTGAATTGTTTGTTCTTTTTTGCACACTGGTTTCAAGATGATTATGAACATTTTATTTATATAATGAATTCGCAATTTATATCAATAACACAAATATTTACTGCATGCAATACACAAATATTCAACCACTAGAAATCATATTGCAATATCTACAATGCATGTCATAAAACTATTAAATACATTACAATCAATATTACTCAAATGTCTCTATAATTTCAAAAATACCATAAAACAGTAGATTTAAGTATGTTTAGATTTAATGAAAGTATTATATATATTTTTTATATGTATATAATATTCTATATAACTATAAAAATCGTGTCACCTTGTTAATTTGTGTGGAAACCGTTACTTGGCCTGTCCCTCCAGGTGTAAGATCCTCAATTTTTTCTTCGATATTTTGAGTCACTCCTTCCTGGTCCTTCACCACCGATTGCTTAGTTGTTGTTTTCACTATTGTTGGAGCAGTGCTTGAAGCTACGGTTTTCTTTGTCTTTGAAGAGGCAGGCTTTGTCGTGTCTTGTATATCCTTCAGAATAGAATCGCTGTCTAAAGGTTGTCCAGTGCTAGCGAAAATCATGCCATCCTTCACAAATGCTCCATCTTCCCCAAAGATTTCTTGATTCATTAGTTTACCAAACATGTCATGAAGTTTGCCATCTTTAACGTAGCTTCCATCGTTCGCGTATGGTGCTTGTCTCACCGGTTTTCCATCTTTATCGCAAAGTAAACCTTTACGAACCGAAGTGATGGTAATTACGGTATAATATTTATCAAGAGGTATGCCTGTGGGTGTACAAATTACACCATCTTTGACAATGTTGCCTTCCGTATCGAAATTTCCTTCTTTTAAAATTTTACCAGTTTTATCCACCACAACCCCCTGTATTACTTTCACACCTTCAGGGCCAAACGCTTCTTGCGTAAGCAGCTGTCCATTCGTATCATAAATTTTTCCGTTTCTAATGTAACCAGTTTCTGGTGGTAGCGTACCTCGAGACATCGGTTTCCCGTTACTTCCGTAAATGAGACCATCTTTAATAAACCTTCCGTCGTTTCCATAAGAAGCCTGATTTAAAGGTTGACCTGTGTGATCGTAGATTCTTCCATCTTTAATAACGCTACCGTTCGTATCGAAATCTCCAGATTTTAATGGTTTACCATTGCTGCCATATACTAAACCATAACGAACAAGCGTAACAGTAACTATTGTTTGTTTTCGATTTAGTAATTTTCCATTTGGTTCGTGTATTAAACCATTTTTTATGTAACTTCCGTCATTTCCAAACGTTCCATGACTAAGCGGCTTTTTATCTTTGCCGTAAATATAACCATTAACAATGTATCCTCCATCGATACCAAATGAACTGTGATTCAAAGGTTGTTTGTCTTTTCCATATATCCTTCCTTCGTCGATGTAAGTGCCAGTAGGTAGAGCAGCACCAGCATTTAACAACTGACCACCCCATCCATATATAAGACCATCTCTGATGTAACTTCCATCAGGTTTAAATGCCCCTTGCTTCAGAGGACATTGGTTCTTATCATAAATTACACCATCTCGAATATAACATCCATCTGGAACAAGGGATGCTAAATTCTTAGGATTTCCTTGATTGTCAACAACTTTTCCATCTCTTATAGCTAAATTGTCTGGTCCTTTGTCATCTTGAATTAACGGTTTTCCATCTCTACCGATGATCAGTCCATTCTTAATAATATTTCCGTCAGGTCCAAAAACACCCTCTGAAATTATTCTGCCATCCTTTCCACAAATAATACCACCAGCAACGTATGAACCATCAGATCCAAAGATATCCTTAGTTAAAGGCGTGCCAGTGTAATCGAAGATTACTCCATTTGCAACGGAACTATCTTCCGGAAGAGCCGAACAAAGATTTAAAGGTTTACCATCCATGCCATACACAAGACCATCTTTAATGTAACTTCCATCTGGTTTGAAAAATGAGAACTTCAAAGTCTTTCCATCTTTAGTATACAATCTACCATCCTTGATAGCCGCACCTTCAGGTATTAATGAATCTTGATTAAGAGGTTTACCACTTTTCGAATGAATAATACCTTTCTTAATATAGCTTCCATTCGAGCCAAAAGATTCTTGTTTAACTGGTTTACCATCTTTTCCTATTATACATCCATTTTTAATCAAAAGACCGTCTGGCCCAAGAAAGGCATTTGATAGTGTTACCCCATTTGCATCATGAATTACACCATCTTTAATTATGATATCATCAGGTTTGAAAAGATTTTGCGATAACGGTTTGCCATCGTTAGCGTATACGATACCTTCTTTAACAAAGCTTCCATCGGCTATTAAAGGAATCTGACTTAGAGGTCTACCATCTTTGCTATATATAATACCATCTTTGATAAAACTTCCATCAAGTTTATAAAATGCATGTTTAACAGGTTTCCCATCTTTACCAACGATTTTTCCATCTTTTAAATAAGCACCGCAAGGAAGTAAAGATCCTTGACTCAAAAATTTTCCATCCTTTGAATAAATTATACCGTCTTTTATGACAGATCCATCCGAACTAAAGGATTCATGTTTTACCGGTTTACCATCTTTGGAATAAATTTTTCCGTCCTTTATATGATGACCTTCGTGACCCAAAGTACCATCGTCAAGGGCATTTCCTGATCGTCCATAAATTAAACCATCGTAAACGTATGTTTGATCAGGTATAATTGCAATTTGATTCAAAGGTTTTCCACTTTTATCAACCACTATTCCGGTAACGATATAATTTCCATTTATACCGTACGAACCTTGTGTAAGCGGTTTAGAACCCGAAGTGAATATAAAACCATCTTTTATGTACGTTCCATCGGAACCCAACTGACTGTATTGTACCGGTTTTCCATTTTTCATCACAATTTTGCCTTCTTTGACTAACGAGTGCTCTGGTCCCAATAAATGTTGGTCAACTATTTGTCCATTACAACCATATATAATACCATCTTTAATCAAATTTCTCTCAACGCCTAGAGATGTTTGATTGACGGGTTTCCCATCTTTAGTTGTAATTACACCATTGTTGATATAAATTCCATGGGGACCGAAGTCAGCTTTTTTAATTGGATTTCCATCTTTCGTGCAAACTTTTCCATTTATTACTTTACTGGCTTCTGGGCCAAGATGATGTTGATCTAAAGGTTTTCCATCTTTGGTATAAATAACACCTCTAATAACCTTTGAACCATCGGGAAGCGGTAAAATATGGTATTCCGGAATGGTATCTGTAACCGGTAATTGACTTGCGGTAGGTTGATAATCAGCACCTTCTTGTTGTTGTTCAGCAGCAATAAAAGCTGCCGATGCATTTTTATCGATATCTGGTTGACACGCAGCTTTTTGCTGTTCTTTTAATCCTGCAGATTCTACATAATTGAGGCCTGGAGTCTTTAATCCTGCAGTGGGCTTATTAGTATCTGCTTCTTTGGTTTTCCTTTTTTCTGCTGATTCTGCTACTTTCTTATCCTCACCTGGGGCATAATTAAAAGCTAAGCCAGTAGCTTTGCGACTCGCAGCAGTCGGCGACTGTTGATTTTGAATGCCGGGCGATGCTGGTCTATCTTCGTATGAAAATCCATGCGGTGTAAAAGGTTTCTTTGTTGGAGATGTTTCCGTTTCTTCGTAATCGTAGGGTTTTGTATAGCTGGGAGGCTGTGGAGATTCTGGAGTCGTTCTCGCCTTTTCGATATTTGACGTTTCGGTTAAAGGTTTCACTTGTTTTTCAAACGTAGAAAGATTTGATTCCGTATCGCTTTTCTCCAGTGATTCTTCGAGTTCTTTGTTCTTTTTCTGCTTCTTCTGCTTTGCATCCTTTTCCTTTTTGCCAAATAGGAAGCCACCGACAGGACTCTTTCGTAATAAACAAAAACATGCAATACCAGAAACATGCCATATATCTAAATATTTTTTCTCATAAATGCCTGACAAAAAGAAACTAACAAAGCTAATAAAGACTACACATTAACGCATAGCTATCATTTCTTTTACAAAAATAAAGTAATAGCCATGCAGATCTGCATTTTGGGATTATGTATGTGTATGTATATGTACTTGTAATATATATATATTTCACATTAATATTTTCGGTTCTGATGCATAAAACATTTTGTTGTAAGAACGACCATGATGAACTAAACTCTTTTTTACTAACTATAATATAATATGCTTTATAGCGTATAGCAGGTTTGTTGGAGAAGAATGTACTTACCTTTATTTTCTCTTTTTTATCTTTATCACGTTTCTCTGGCGTTTCCTTATCTTTCTTTTTTAGTTCTTTTTTAGTGGGCGACTTCGTGTCGTTGTTGTCGAGGATAGCACTTTCATTTATCAGATCAGAGTTGTTGAGATCATTATGATTTTCCTTTTCATTTTCGTTTTGCTTATCCTTTTTCTTCTTAGATAGACCACCGGGCGGTAGGACTGCGATTCCTCCGACCGGTTTCTATAAGTAAATTTATAATCACACATCGCTTCATGCAATAAGCACGAAAAAGGTCTATCGCTAAGCTACTATTAATCTACATGTTTATCGCATTCTCTTAACATATGTTTCATGCTTGACAACTAAGTACGGTCTGCGCTCTCAAAAAATCCAGTAGTCGTTGATCTGTTAGATGAGCATACTTTCCTGTAGAGTTTAGTTTGAGTAACAATGTGAAATTTTTCTTCCGATAACTGCATGTAACACGATGTTGCTCGCGATGAATTGTTATTTACATGCAAATATAAGCATTATGGCGCAATTAAATTTAAACGTTTCATTCTATGAAAAATGATCAACATAACTTACGAAAGTATTTGCGCAATTTTCTGCATCATAATTTTCATGCTTACGTGACGTTACCGTACGAACAAAATTTCGGGTAACTCGAAAGTTCAGCTTTGAGGCGATGGCCGTATAATTCTTGCAGAAAATAAATATAAACAATAGCAACATGCATTGAAAAAAGGAAAACACCAAATGGTCACGTACACGAATAAAAATGAAAATATGTTGGTTAATGCATGACCCGTGTGTCTCGGGTGAAATTTTATACCTTTTTGCCACGATCTGCATCATATTCTCCTTCCAGGCTACTGGTACTGCTAGCTGATGTCGTTCCAGCACTTGTTTTGCGTGTGAGCTACCGGTGTTAGTTAGGTGTCAGTTAGTTTTTTATGATCGAAGCGCTAGGACGTAGATATTGAATCGAAGTTTGCGAAGATTAATCGTGTTGTAAAATTGTCTCGATAATTGTTGAATGAGTACAATAAAATATCTAATACATACAACCATGTCTAACACATGGTAGGCGATAAATTATTAACATGCCACGTCTACGAATATTATCCGTTTAATCTGAAAAAGTGCATGGTGATCGAGTCGTACTTTTATCAAATGTTGTATCTCTATCCTTTTCTATACTTTCGGTGATCCAATTGGTGTTCTACAATTTCTCTATATAATATAATATAATATAATATAAAAATGTTATCGCATCGTAGCAATGAGATTTAATCGAATTAGTTATAATTTCCGTGGAATCGGTTCTTAAAAACACGTTTTGTTTGAAAGCGTAGACCGCAGATAAAATAAAAAACAATATGTCTCGATATGAACCTTCACGAAACAGTTTTTCAATTTGCATGACGATTTCATGCATCTTCTACCAGCTATCGCTATGTCGAATATGTGTGAGAAACCCGATGTAAGTATATCCTCTTTTTACCTTTTCCTTTTGCTTTTTAATTGGGCTAGGCCGTTGATCTATGTGCTCCATATCGGGAATCATTTCAGGCTCATAACTCATCGTATGCCTCTTGCTTGGTTCTGAACCATAACTTTCAACCTGTTTAGGCCCACCTAACGCTGTGTAAGGCAGTCACACTATATCAAAAACCTAATGTAATCTAATAACTTTTTAATAAAACCATCGAAACGGGGTTTCAAGTCCGTTATAAATATATAATAATATTTTTATATCTACGCATACGTAAACTAAAGTTTAGGAATGATAAAAGTGGTTTTACCATCCATACTGCGAGACGTAGGACGACGACCACTCAAAGATCTTTCGAATTGCGGAGGCTGCCTGTCGATAGGAGTCTTTTTCGTCTCGTAATGTGTTCTCCCAGAGTATCGGAATCGAGAACCCAAATGTGGTATCAATCCTACTTTCTTAACAGGCTCTGGACTCATGAGCCTAAAATCATATTTAGTAACGTCACTCGTATTCATAATCTGCTCGTATCGTCGTTATAAACGAATCTCTAAGCGACTAGTTTACTTCACCTGAAGAAAGTGTGATGTTCCACGCAAACTTTCCATAATTTCTTTGCCGCTCTGTGGTTCGCTAGTTTGAAACCAATCGTGGACTCGAATTGCTCGAACTCGCCCGGTCTAATTTTTATGTAAAAATTATGCCTCTTGTAGGAGATTTTTAAGATCTTTGGCCAAGCGAATCGATTGATTCGTAATCGATCCCTGTAAACGAGGAGGCCCGACGAGCATACACCTAGCATTATGTCGACACCTTCGGAATCTTTAGCGGGATGGAGATCGACTCCGTACATTGCCAACTTTTTCGCGTTTTCGAGATAGTGTAGCTCCGCCTCGGCGGGTGTTTGACCCCTAAAAATTCCCAAACCTAACATTACCATCTTTTACTTATAAATCATACTATACTATACGTCTATAGACGAAACTAACTTATGCGTCTTGTGCAGGTCCATCACTTTCTCAACCAGCTCCGACGTCTGATTCGGAGCAAATTTGAAATCCTTCAAATATGTACGGCCGTGCTCGTCCGGGTCATAATCTCCAACTTCAGATTGTACTAAATACGAACCTAAAAGAGCGTGAGTCACGAAAGAACACGGCAATCGTCCTGTGATAATATCGTTTCTTATCTGAAGGCACAACTGATATCGCGTTATGTCTTCTTGTAATTGAGCTGGATCTGGGGGGTAGAACTTCACCTCGAAATTGAATTTCCATGGTTCGTCTGTATTCCAACAAAAACAAAAGTGACATCGTCGTCGAATTTATATACGTTAACAAATCTACGAGTATGAATAGTAACGTGAAAGCGAAGATACAAACTTTTTACAAATTTCGTAATCCTTTTGTCGAGATCTAACCAGTTTCGTGGATCGTGCCTGTCCTCGTAAATAAGGCCAAAGTAGTCCTTCTCAAGCAGATTCATACTTTGACAAATCATGTCGAGCAGTTCTTGGCCTTTCGCCTTCCTCTGTTATCAAATACGAAACGAAAGTTCAAACGAACATAGCGGCGCTTGATAGAAACGAAGAAAAACGTTTGGCGACTCACGTCGATGTGGAAGTCTTTGACGGTTCCATCGAGCAAGGTGATCTTCGCGATAGCCGTCTTTCCTTTGCTCACTGGACTTTTCGTTGGAGAATTTGTTCCATTTTCCGCAGTCACTTCCGGTGGACCACCGACGGACTTTTGTTCCTCCGGCATATTTCAACCCTGTGCTGAGAAAATCGTACGATTTCAATGATAAATCACTGGATAGGGTCGACGTATAATACAATACAGGGTGTCCCAAAACTCGGGGAGGAGCCGGAAATGAGGGGTAGCTGAGACGATTCTGAACAACAATTTCCTTTGCAAAAATGTCGGATGGGGCTTCGGTAAAGAGATATTAAGAGAAAACCCCGACCAATCAGAGCGCGAGTATGCCGGTTGAGCGTAGGCTACGCGCTAGGCGGCCGCGCTCATTCGCTACCACGGCCGCTCCAACGACATACGCGCGCTCTGATTGGTCGGGGTTTTCTCTTAATATCTCCTTAACGAAGCCCCATCCGACATTTTTGCAAAGGAAATTGTTGTTCAGAATCGTCTCAGCTACCCCCCATTTCCGGCTCCTCCCCGAGTTTTGGGACACCCGTATAACGATTTAAATGCAATTAAATGGTATTTATCGGATGTAAAAGTGAATTTATCTTTTGCGTCAGATTGATGATCCGGTCGGGTGCAAGATCGAGAAAAGATCGCATGGCAGTTTCTCTAGACTAAACGGTACCGTATACAGAAACGATCGATATTTGCGATGGCTCATGGTGTTACGCGTACCCTCTGTAAAAACACTCCGAGACTTCCAACGCGTTAACGATACAAAAATTCGGAAAAAAGAACCAACTATCCGAAACGCGACCATTGACTGCGCAGATCGGACAATGGCGACACACTGAAATAATTCGTGTCGAACGATTGTCTCCGCTGGCAGAGATCTGAATCTTTATAGCATGGTAGATTTACAGCCCGAGCATGTGACAAAACTCGATGTTCGCTATCGATTTCGTAAGCATGGAAAAGGAACTCGATCGAAGATTACCAACGACTGGATTCTTCGTCGCGATAACGCTCTTTCGCAACGATCCATACATTTTTAACTTAAACGTAATGTCGAGGTTCCCCCTTTGTAGCCGCCATAGTCGTCAGACTTGAAAAATGAAGTCCAAAGTGAAAGGCCGACGTTTTAGCACCAGAGGATTGTGTATCTTGCGGGGTAGGGCAATGTAAATAAACGTTTTGTATCCGTCCGATCTTTTTTATTTCGTAAAATAAATTTAGCTACGTGTAACATTACCGCGAGTTCTCTTGCGACGGACGAGACCTCGCCGCGTGTTCGTATATCGGAAAAGATGATCGCGCACGGAGCAGTAAAGCGATAGAGAAAACAGTAAGACGAGTGATTTCGTAAGACTTTGGTGGACAGGTCGCAGTTACGTGCGCGGTGCGATAGAAGCGCGTGTGTGGATTTACCGCAGGTCGTTGTCCCTTCTTCAAGATAGAACGAACGTGTTCACATCGAGCCGCGATGTCTCGATACAGAGTCAACGAAACGTCGATATTTATTACCGCGGCGCGCTTAAAATATCGCGCCCAGGTATTATTGGACGACAAATTTACTATGCAAGTGTAGCGTCTAAGTTCACGATCGATCGCACGTGCCAAGTGGGGTTGGTAGCGTTTCACGAGGTCGCGTACAACGATACAAACTTCTACGACATTTGTCAACTATAAGCAACGTTGAATTAACATTTCATAAACCTCTAGGCTACGGGTACCGCGACACATCCGGTACGTAACATTTTTTGTTCGCGCAAGACGGCTTCGATGCTAGAAAGTATCGTCTACGATTTTTGATTAAACGAGAACTACGCTTCTTTAAATTTGTTGAAATTCAGGCTAAAGTACGGAACAAAAGTACGGAACAAAAGTACGGAACAAAAGTACCGTTTCCTATGTTAAATTTCAAAAGAAACTGTTGGCGACCCTGACCGACACGCTCCGACAGACTCTACTATTCGAATCGACTCCACGAGGTAGCGCGGACGCAGCCTTATGCAACGACACCCAGGCAAATAGCAATTCAACCTCAATTGCACGGAATCAGAGCCGTACATCGGGATGATGCTGTTCAAACGCTATTAATGCCTCCGTGCACGGAGCACGACCGACCGTCGCGTCGGCTGGAAAAAAATCCGGCTGCGGCGATTCCAACAAAGATTCTTTTTGTAATAGACCAGAGGCTGCGCGTGAGTCACGCCGTGCAGACACAAAGAGAGAAACGTGTATCGGTTGAAACGGAAATCACGGTTTAGCGTTCAATTCCGAGCAAATATCTTGTTACGCAGGCCACGCAACCGATACCGACAAAAGAGTAATTACATAAATTTGCTCATCGGCCATGTCGCGTAACATTCTTTGTACGCAGTTGAAAACAAACGACTAGGACGAGATCGAAACGAAACGAAACTCGTGATTCGTATCCGAGTAGCGCAGAAATCGCGTTGGAATTCGCTGGAATTCGTAAAACGTTCGCGCCTCTGCAAGTTCGACAAGCGCGATGTCGTCATCGCTAGAAGCAGACGTCCTTTACCGTGCTCTTTGGCTAGCACGATGAAGTAATGCACCGATTAGCACGCGCGATGACGAGGGTGACCGATATTATATTTGTCGATGCATCGAACCGAGTTAGTCCTCGAGAAGCTGGCTCGAAAACGGGAGTATCGACATTCCGCAACTGGAGCGTTCGATTCGAGATCGCGAAACACCGGACATTGGTATATTAGGAACGTAACGACACCGAAACTCTGCCGATAATCGATGCATACACGTGGTTCGACTAAAAAAAAAGATACTCGAATCGAACACCAAAGTGTTAAGTAACATGAAATGAAAAGAAATCTCAAAGTACATGTACCGTAGAGTAAGTACGCGCTGTAGTACGCGGTGTATATCATTGTCGGAGTTACGCGGAGGAAACGCGAGGATATCCGTTTCGCCATCGGGTCGGTTTAAAGTTTTAAAAGCTCATTGAATGGACCGACCCGGTCCGAAAGAATCTGCTTTTTCCGTCGCTGGAAGGAGGGATCCTTTCAAAGACGCGTGGGTCTCGTTTGGCCGTGTGTCAAAGGGCTGATTGTAAACGAGAGTCGCGTGATCCACGGCACACGCCCACGCGACCGTGTACGTACACGCCTCGCGAGAGATCTCTCTCATCCACCGTACGTATTAAAGAGCCGTCGACTTTAATGAAAGAATTCATACCTCTCGAGGCGCGGCGCGGAACATCCTTCGAGGCCGTCGATCGGTGGACGTAAAAACGAAAGATCAAAGAGCGAAGAAATAAACATTCCGACGCGACGCTTCGCCGTCGAAAATTATTCGAATTACAAATTGGCCGATCGGTACGAGACGATGCTAAGTGCACGGAGGCGTGATGTTCGAGCGAAAAAATTCCTGGGTGGTACGAACTGCGAGAACACGGATAGCGATCGGCTCGAAGATCTCGGGTCGCCGTTATTGGCTCGTATTTTCCAGTTAACGGAACCCTCGGGTATCTCAATCTGGAGTATCGGCGCGACATCGTGTAAGTACGTATACACGGGCGTGTGTGTGTGCGTACGCTCGCGCAGTTAACGGATCGACGAAATCCTTATTCGGGAACCTGTCCATCCGTGGAGGGGAAAGGTCGTCAGAGACGCGGAAGATGTCGTTAGAGAACGAACCAGATTTGGAAAATTAATTACGTCTACCGTGGAACCGTTACATTTTAAACGATCGTCGCATCTCAAATGTTACGGTAGCTCGACTTCAAATGGAAAGAGACGGAACAATAGCAATGCGCGAACAATCCTCGCGTGCAATATTGTCTTACGAGATCGATGAAAATCTAGCCAGCCCTTCCGGAGATACAGCACGCACGACCGCCTTGGGGAATGTTTGATCGATCGACGTACCCCCGTCGTCGCGGCCGGATACGCGCGAGCTGACAATTTTCCAGCCGTCGGGTACCAACAAACGTCCGCTGAAATACGATTGAACGACTTGGCCGCGTTCGCGTGGGTATATAACAGCTTCTGCGAAGCGTGCTTTAACTGCAGCCGCGCGATGCCTGATAGGACCGGAAAAAGAGGCCTCCTCCTCTTCCTCCGCCTCCTTCACCCCCTGTCTTCCACCGAACCCCCTTTTTTCAGAAGACTCGTGATTTGCGATGCATCGTGGAAACGTGTCTCCGCGGTGCACTTTGCTTATTACTTCGACGATTACTCCTCGGACTTTCCGTTCCCATTTAGGTAAGTTGTTTAAGTTTAATTCGATTTGTGATCAACAAATCGTCCGCAGATTAAATTAACTCGTTTCGTTACTGAAACGAATAAGATAACGTATTTTAATTCGCAGCAGCGGGAAACGTATTTAAAAACACATAGAAAAACGTATAACTGAAAGGTTAGAGAGACGTCGCGGTAATACGCGACGAGCTCAAAAAATCGGAATCCTTTCATCAAACAGAGTGATCTTCGCATCCACGTGGATACTAGAAACTGCATTCGAGTGTATAGCCAACAGTCGGGACACTTTTTATCGCCCTCGTACAGGTCCGTCGCGTCTACTACCGATCGGGAGTTGGAGGGCTGTTGCCGTATTTTTCCTTTTGTCGTTCAACCCTTTTCTTTCATCATTCGTGCAGCGGCAGTATTCATCGGTAGGTCTTCCTCTGTGTCGCGAAATTCAATGGTGGTGGAATTGCAGGGAAGGGAAGATAAGGGCGTACCGGGGTTGCCATACGAAGGAAACGCGGGGGGCGAGGATTCTTTGGCGCGTGAAATTAAAGGGCTCGCAGCAGTAAAAACGTCGTGTTTAAATCTTCGTCAAACCGGGGATTTCACCGACCGATTATTTATTTTTTCGTTCGCGACGGCTGCTTCATTTCCCCGATTGCGCGCGAATTTATCGTTTCGACGCCGACGCGACGTACGACAGCGATGATAACTCCAAGTACAAATAGCGAATCTAGTCAACGATTCCGTGTTCCGACAAAATTATCCAATCGCTTTATTTTTAACAATGGCAAGTCGAAATATATAGTTGTATACTTGCGATCTTTGTTTTGAAAGTTCCTTCCATTTCATTAGTAAGTAATACGTACACAAAATTTATGTTTAATGTTACATTACTAAATTGCGTACGATTCATTTTGCTCCATTACTGTTATACAATATTAACATCTAAGAAATTAGGTTGTCTATTTTTATAAACACTGCCACGCAAAATAATTGAGTGCAAATCTCGGAAGAAACTTTTCGGACAACCTAATGTTTTCTATTTTTTTTTTTTTTTTAGTACTTCAGATCGTAAGTCGAATGCTGGGACTAATTAGCGGATCCGTTCGTTAACGAATCGAGAATCAGAGAACGGTTCGCGTTTTAATTAAACACCGTGCAAGTTCCCTGCGTATTTTTACACGAGGATTCGTTCAAGAGTACCGGGGGGGGTTGTTACGCACGTGTAGATTAAAAGCTCGAGAGCTCGTCAAGAACGAAAACGTACAATCGACGTCGATCGTGTCACGCGCCGGTCTGCGTGTCTCGCGGCAAGCTTATAATTTATAACAATTTGAAGGACGAGGCGGGCATCGATGCAATTAAACGCTGAAACATGTAACCCGTAGTACGTTTTGATAAAGTAAAAAAAAATTCGTTAGGAAAAGAGTCGAGCAACACAGATTTCCTTCGAACTCGGATTCGTCAAATAAAAATAAAGTTTCGCAATGATTTTGCGCAATAACAATAGCAAACTTTTACGACCACTTTTTCCCTAGCGTAAACCGAGATAATTGCCCGTGTCCCGAGGCAACGCAACAGTGCTATACAGACTGTACCAAAATTGATGTTCCAAATTTTATCGCTTCGCGGCAAATGTCCGAAACAACACTCGAATATCATCTTTGACAACGATCGCTACGTTAGTTTAATTGCTCGGATTTACTATCGCGTAGATCCGGACATGACATACGCAGACAGAGTTTGGGCCACCGATTTAAACACGCTCTGTACGCAACGAGACCCTCGTGCTATTGCGCTCTGCTTTTTCATGGCTAAATCGTTTTGTTCCCGTTGCACGCTCGCTCGTCGGATTTAGTGTTTCGCCAAAGAAACGTGTCACGTCCCTGATTCCCTGTTCTTTCTTCGCTTCCGGTGGAAAAGAAAGTACCCGGTTCCCGTGGAAACGCGACTTGCGTTCGGCGATCTGCGAAAATCAAATAAAATCAAATACGGGAACGTGGAAATCTCTGTACAATGTGAAATACATCCCGGTGCCGATGCGACTTAAAGCGAAGTATGTAAACGAAGAAAGAAATAATTGCACGGTCAAGGGATTTTAAACTCACGGTCCGAGGATTCGCCGCGGTGAAAACACGCTCGTTGTCGATTAGGTACGCCAAGCGGCCGTGACGGAAATAGAAAAAGCGAAGAAAAAGTAAAAGAAATCACGCATCGCGCTGATTGCATGCACGATTTGATCGAGCACAACCGCGATGTTTGCGTTACGATCCGCGGACACGGAAAAAGTATCAACTGTGAACATGAAACTGTACCGAGCGGTCCGAACGATCTGAAAAAGGTTAAACAGAGATTAGGGTTGAAAGAGATGCAAGGAACAAGAAATGTCTATTCGAGGAATTAGGAATGTACGTTACGAATGTCGGATCCAAGTTCATTCCGTATTGCGACTATGAAACCACACGACGAGCGTAGCCACGCCTTATTCGCGTTCAGCTTTCAAGATTTTGCATGTGGTACACGCACACTGCTGCATTATCGATACTTCCGGTGGTTGGTTTACGCGAGACAGGTATACGTAAACAGCTGTCCGCACAATAAAGTTTCACGTGAATTAAGCGCGTCCGAGGGATACGCTTACTACGCTAACAGGTGTTAACGCCTCCCGGTTGCAAGCCAAACAACAGTGTTTTTATTTATCCTGGATAATACAGGGTGTTCCAAAAATGTTGCAACACCTTGAAAGAGGTGGTTTGGGAGGTGATTTGAAACAACTTTTTCCTTAGCGAAAATGTTGTCCGAGGCTTCGTTGAGGAGATATTAACGGAAAACAATGACCAATCAGAGCGCGCGGATACCGTTGGAGCGTAGGCTACGCGCTAGGCGGCTTCGCTCATACGCTACCGCGGCCGCTCCACCAGTATACTCGCGCTCTGATTGGTCAGTGTTTTCCGTTAATATCTTCTCAACGAAGCCTCGGACAATATTTTCGCTAAGGAAAAAGTTGCTTCAAATCACCTCCCGAACCACCCTTTTCAAGCTGTTACAACATTTTTGGGACACCCTGTATTCGCGGGGAATACTACGAATCCTGTGAATAAATTGATAGTATTGAAAGAACGCGATTGACGAATAGTTGAAGGATTTTCCAGCGGTACTCGTGCCATAGTTCACGAGCACGCACGTCCCCCCATAAGAGAAAGGCGTGTTACGAATACACGCCGAATTGCCCTGGCGAGCAAGCTTTGTTTCCCCCAAGTTCATTGTAACTTTGATCGTGTCGTGCATCACCTCCTATCAACGCCACACCTTCCTACGTATCGGCTACGAGTATACATCCCTTGTCCTGGTTAACGCTATACCCGTTTGTAATAATAATATCGAGTACACAGCGAATTCTATTCTCGGTTAATCCGCGTCTTACCGATCGTCAGTCGATTCGTAACGCGAAACAATTGTATATTCCGTAATATTTCATCGTCGAATTAGCTTTAATCTAACAACTGTTTACCTTGTATTTGTAACCGTACATATTTTTAAAAAGCTACCACCTTCGTGACGAAGTTCGTAATTGACCTAATTGGCCGTAACGAGCATTCGCGAGAACAACGAAGTTCAGAAATTGTTAACATAACAGACTCGCGAGGTAGTTGAAAAGATATCTTCCATAATTTGGTAAAAATATCCCCCGTTTCGTCAAATGTATAAGGAGAGAGCGTTACGTACGGTAAAGTATCCAGTGTGTGGCATACTTAGCAAGAAGCACTTTACCTTCAGGGTCGTACCTGTACCAAGAATGGTAGTAGAATAAACTACAGACGAACGCATCTATCGTTTGTTTTGAATTCGTGATGTATCGTCACATTTTGTAAGGCATTACGAAAATTAACCAGAAATGGAAATTAATCATTGTCCGTTTTTTATTTAATTAATGGTAACGAGCTTAAAGATTGTAACTTTTGTAGATGGTCGGACGAAATCAAATTGCGATTATTTGCAACGATTTTTAACGGATTCTGCGCGTCTCTCGATATCGTTAATTCTACATCTATCGCGAAAGAATGAGATACCCGTTCCGGGGGAATACGATACTCGAAACGCAAGGAATGCATTTATAAATTCCATCTCGACTACATTGTTTGCGTTCGTTCAAATTCTTCGATGCAGTTGTATCTGACAACAATTTTGGCTACATATGGAACAATTGATTCCTACATTTATATCGAATAAAAAAGTATTACACTGTCGCATGCTATACTTCGAAATATGTATACATGCAAATAATAAGAGTACCTACGTTGTATTAGTACATATGTTGCATCAAAAATTTTCTATCAACCGGGCCAAATAGATATTTCCGTAAATTTTTGATCAAATATAAGCTATAACAAACGTAAGTTCGATATTATACACTTACGTTAAATACATAAAGATATTCTCTGTTAATACGTGCAAGCGTGAATTCATTTAACGTTACTGTAGGTTATGGTGGATACTTTTCTGCGCTATTAAATTAATTCATTCGCATGAAAAAATTCGTACACGAATCAAAATGTCGCGTTATGAAAATTCTTTAATAGTAAATTTCTCTATTTACAAATGTACTTATGTATTCGATACCAGTGTTAACGCGAAACGCGAATTACGAGTATTCCATATTTCGTGTTCGGTAGCTCGAGAAAAATGAAATATATGCGGGAGAAATTTGATCAAGCTGTGTTACACCATACTACAAAGGTGATAGGTGAAATCAGAAAACTAGTAAACTTACCTATAGGATGTGGACGCGATCTTTCCTCGAATAACGCACCACGACGCGAATATCGGAAATAAAATATCGGACGTAAACGACGCACAGGGTTGAAACACCAACCAACTGTCTTTTTCTTTCGTTCGAGTAACAGAGTACTTCCTACTGTAAGCACATAAACAACTCTCGTTCCAATTCCCCCGACGGCTACGAATACAGAGCAGGTCCGTCGGATCGCGGGGCGACGCTGGATGCGGCCACGGCCCATATTCGCACCATTTTCAAATAGTCCCCTCACGCGTGCATATATCATTAGCTACGTACCTTGGTGTTTTGAAATTCCTTACGCGACGAACGATCACAGATCATAGGAAATCCAGCTGCGTTATGAGATTCCCACGACAGTAACGCACCATTTAATTCGAACCGCTAGCACTGTGAATACGGGACTGCTTTCAATATTCTTACGCGCGAGTCAATATGGCCGACTACCTAGGAAAATCAGTTTCTCTTATGACGCAACCAAGCGAGTACGCCCCGTTTAAATCCATTTTCTCCACTAGATGGCACCAGCTGCGCAAATCAGCCGATACATGGAAATCCTAATTGTCGATAAGAGAGAAAACAACAGACCGACGTATACTCGCCATCTAACGACGATACGTATAAGCTAGAGAATTCTCCCTTACGAATTTACGATACGATACGCGATCTGTTGCGTTTGTTCACGTTTGTTCGCGTTTATTCAAAGCAGCGATGGACATTCGTGCGATTTTTCCTGATCATGTGCATTGGAGCGAGCGTTACAGTCCTCACTGGTGTATACACTTACTTAGAATTTAGGGTACCATTGGATCCCAGTAAGGAACAAAATACAGGGTGTCCCAAAAATGTTGTAACACCGTGAAAGAGGTGGTTCGACGTAGGACGTAAAAGGCAAATTGACGAGTGTCGACGTTTTAGAATTGCTGGATTTCTATAAAATAAATTGTATAACCATTAAATCGTAACGACAAAATGTATTCGATTTTTACATCGTAATTAGCAATGGAACGTGTACATTGGGATTGGGTAAGTTTAAACGATACATGATAAAAGTATAACAAAATAAGGTAATCATGTACAATATAACGATATCAATGATTTCAACGGTCTTGAAGTGTGTTGGAAGTACGTTCTCAAGAAAAAATTATTTACCATTTACGTGTTCGTGGTTCTTACCGTGGCACCTCCAAAACCTGGGTTTCCGATGCAACAAGTCGAAAACGAAAGAACGAACGACAAATATTATAACCTACCCTTTTCAACATACTTTAAAAGCCGTTGAAATCGATCAAGTCCATCGCTATTTTGCAAAATTACCTAATATACAGGGTGTCCCAAAAATGTTGTAACAGCTTGAAAGGGATGGTTCGGGAGGTGATTTGAAGCAACTTTTTCCTTACCAAAAATGTTGTCCGAGGCTTCGTTGAGAAGATATTAACGGAAAACACTGACCAATCAGAGCGCGAGAATGCCGGTGGAGCGCTCGCGATAGCGTATGAACGCGGCCGCTGCATCGGTATACGCGCGCTCTGATTGGTCGGGGTTTTTGGTTAATATCTCTTTAACGAAGCCTCGGACAACATTTTCGCTAAGGAAAAAGTTTTTTCAAATCACCCCCCGAACCACCCCTTTCAACGTCTTCCAACATTTTTGGGACACCGTGTAGTAAAGTAGTTGTTCGTTATTCGGTGTATGTTTACAATTACCTTTCGTAATACATAAAAAGTGGTTAGTCTCGTAAACATTGGGATAAAGTATTTCAAATAGTAGATATTTCATAATTCTGACTTCGTTTTGCGCTGCAAGCCGAGAGTCATGAAAACGTATAAAGTATACGATACACGAAGAGCAACTGTTTTACGTGAATTACTTCAAACAGAGTATGCAAATGATATACGGTATGTTGTATCCATTTTTTTTTTGCATTTATCGACCTGGAATATCATGTTTCTTCTTTTTGCTTTTTTACACCATATGTATGTACAAACACAGATGTACACAAATAGCGAACTAGGTTTCGCTCAGTTTCACTCGTAACAAATTTTTCGTATCGATATCGTTTATCTTACGCGCCATTTTCATACCACATCTTTCATTCGAAAAACGTTTCATTCTTTGTTCGGCATGTCTAGTAATTGCTGTTCATGGCGCACGAGTTAACGGCCGTCGGCTGTCCTCGTCTGATCCACACGTAACTTCTTCGTCCGACCCATAAATGACGTCCTCGTCGGAGTCATTGATCATTGAGAATGCAGGATTATCCTTCGTTATCGACGAATCTAAGATCCATTAAGCAAACATATAAAATACGCAAAATGTGATTTCTTTCTCTGCAAACACTTACGTTGACCGTAAACTTGTTGATGGGCAGGTGCGTACACGTAAGCCATCGTGTACAAGTAAAAATTCAAAAGACCGTACAACGCCATAAATTGAGCCGAAGAACGATAATAAGTCGTAAGGCGAGAAGCAAAACTGTCTTCGAAAATACCGGCTCCGAATTGTCGTGCCGTCACGCAACCGCAAACCGACGAAACGACACCGGCGAGCAACGTCAGGAAACGTAAACGAAGATCTGTAAAAAAAACGTACACAGTCGAGTATAACGTTATCGTTCAGTACCGTGTTAATAGGTATGTCTATCGTACCAAAGTATGGCATCGATCGTAATTCGCTGTACGCTCTTAGTATCAGGAGAAGCAGATACGCGATGTAAAAAACTCCTACCGTGAAGAAAAACACTTTGAAACCCTGCAATCGTATCGCACGTTTATTATTCGTTAAAAATGTTACGGCGTCGAATGTGACCGAGCTTCTCGATAACTTACAAAATAATTCGACGTATCGAGTACGTAGTTGTAAGTTGGATCTTCCAATTCCGTGCAACGAAGCCACGTTGCTAGAATAAGGGCCGAACACCATAACAGACCCACTACCAGAACTTTGGGTAAGTAGAAGGTGATAAGGCGTCTCTCGTTCTATCGAAATTAACACGATCCATAATTATTTAATTACACGTAACATCGTGACGTTACTTTATGCGATAGCGTACGACATTGAAAGAGATCATACCTGTCGGAGACCGTGGTAAACGCACAACCAAAACATGAGGACTGCACAGAGAAACGTTGTTTGCAAAATTGCATCGACCATACCAGGTACCCATGAATTTACCAAAAACGTCATTGGAAACAATGGATCTGCAAAGACGGAAGAAATTTAGTATTTAGAAAGAGTATTTAGAAAGCAACGGATAACGTCGAGAATCGATCATCGATTGTCTTACTATTGTACAAAATCAATAAAGGCAGGAGTATCGAAATCCATTTTTGTTCTATCGACCAGTCGTGCAATGGATATTTTCGGAGAGAATGTCCAAACCAGCACTAAAAATGAACACAGCTTATACAGTATATTTCGCTTGTCACGGAGCGAGGTACGAGACACAGCTACCCTTTACCATAACTCCAAACGCGGTCAGTAGGAAGATAAAACGAAACCAAATCTCGAACTCCGTGAACGCTGGGTTGTAGTTCTTGAACTGCGAACAAACAAAGACATCGTAAAGCGGGATCGTCGACGATACAGAAATTACCATTACGCGATATGTTTTATTATTTTCGTGTAGTGCTTACTGACGTAGAATGTAAGTTCGCGTATGTTATAGCGCTGGTGAAAGCTCTCGAGCCCGTGGAAACGAACAGTAATTATGTAGTAACTATAATCGAGGAATCCTAGGTGAGCAACTACGAGTTCCTCGCACGTTTGCCTTTCGCATTTCAAACGTCTGGTTCTACGATAACAAACGGCCGTATCAACAACAACGATTCGACTAGATTTTAATTCTAAATCGTTGCAAAACGAAATCGCTCCAACTTACCTGTTGTGTCCAGTTTCGGACGACAGTACTGGCATTAGCTTACGTTCGGTGGTGATACCGTCTATGGAGATGCTAATTTGAAAGCTTTTGTCGTATCTTTCGTCTGGAAAATTTAAATAACCGTTACACCTCCCGTCTTACCTATAAATTTACAAAATTGTTTCTTCGCGTCCGTGATACCATCGTTATTGGATGTCAATAATTTTCCGATGACCCACAATTGTTGACTGTACGCGGACAGCAGAGGAGTCTTCATGATAAAAGGACCGGTAGCCACTTCGCTGCCGTTTAAATGAGCTCTCTGTTCGCTCGTAGAAGTGATAGGAGGACCTACGTAAAGAAACCTTTTCTAGTATCGAATTGCTATTCGATGCAAGTGGCGTTATGGTACGACTTTACCTGCGAGTCCAATAAATACCGCTAATCCAAAACATGCGAAGAAAGCAACAAAGACCATAACGAATTCCCTTTTATGCATAGAATATAATCGCATCTGTACCGACCTATGGAACGAAGAAAATTAATACTATCGTCCATGCAAATACGTCAAGTTACCATTCAACGTCGTATACCTTTCGCATCGGTCATGATGATAAGCAGGCGCGATGTATTTGTTAAACTCGCTGAAGAGATCGCTGAACTGCGAAAGAACGTTCCTAACTTTGAGATTCCATCCTGCGGATGGAAGGTGGTACGAGTATCCTAACCCAGGACCGTCCATTTTTACGTTGATTCTGTTACGGTTATACGATATTATTTATTTGTTTACGGAACGGTGTAAACGTTCGAGACAAATTTACGGTCGCATAATTAATTCGAGGAGGTGACAAATGTACACACCCAAACAAGCAGACGTATCACCTTTCCATTTAGCGACAATTCGTAATGAATTACCATTCACAGTCTCGGGACATTTGCACTTTCGTTTTGTCGCGTGGGAATTTAAGAAATTTATAAAGAAAACATGTTGTTAAATAAATATTCGCTAATTCGGCGATTAAATCCTATAGATATTTGGTATAAAAACGAAAAACATTAAATTCACAACGACGCACGCAACGAAACTGGCAGACATCGTGACTCGTTTGCTATTGATTTTCTAGTCAACATGTGATGATGGTTCAGGGTTGTTCTTGCTACCCGTCGCACAACTATCGCATTTCATACGATACGATAGAATGTGTTTAATAACGCACGCAGCTTCGATCCGGGTTGAAATTAGTTTATAAAATAAATCGACAAGACGACAAATTTCTATGATCTTATTTCTTTTTATTTTTCGTGACAAGATTAAAAGTATGCACGTGAAATAAATCTATATACATATATATTATATAAAATACAAGTACACAGTTTTGTAAAAATGCAACCATCGACTCTTTCAGTCCCAATACTTTATTTTTCCATCCCAACCAGCCGTTGCGAGCCTCGAAGGCTCGTGCGGATGCCACAATACATCGATACACACACCGTCGTGGGCTTTCCACTTTTTGTACAACTTTGTCGTCTTCCAATCCCAGATGTAACATTTGCCGTCCGCGTCTCCCGATACGAGATAACTTTAAAGAAGAAATGGACGTATAAGTTGCACCCGGCATTACATAAATAAATTTACAAGATAAAATTAATTATCTTACCTCATATCGGGTGAAAAATCTAAGCCGCACGCATAACCAGCAACCATATGACCCGTGAATGTTTTTTTACGGTTCATTTTAAATCTATTCAATGCTGAGAATATAACAATTTTATTGTCCATACTTTGACATGCGAGCCACTTTTGATTTGGCGAAGGCGTAACGGCTGGCATAGAATGCATAGAAGGGTCGGCTATGTACTTCATGTCGACTGGTATATCCCTGTACGAAAAACGGATGATTGTAGAAAATTTCCCAACCTTATAATTGAAATTTCGCAATTGAAAAAATAAGGGTTTACCATTCCCAAACTCGTAGACTTTTATCGTCCGAAGTCGTTACGAATCGTCGATTCTCATCTACGAACGTTATCGTATTCACTGCTCCCAAATGCCTGTCATACTCTTGCGTTACTTCGCCGGAACGAACATCCCACTGTAACGCACGTATAATTATTATTCGTCGTAGAAATCAAAATTTGTAAATTTTTTTTTAATGAAATCGAACGTATAATACGTTTATAACTTACGCAAATAATCTTTTTGTCACTAGTGCCTGCCACAAACAGATGTTGCTTGTCCGGATCCGGATTAAATTTCACGCAATATGGAATTTTTCTACTTGTAAATCGACTTATGCAGGCACCAGTTTCCGTGTCCCATAACTTCACGTAACGATCGTATCCCGCCGACAAAAATCTTTTTCCATCGTTATCAAAGCTTATATCCCTAACAGCTTGACGATGGCCGTAATAGGTTCGAATACATCTCCTCTCTTTATAAACTTCCCATAACTGTATCCCAAATATTATAATTAAAAAATTATAGTCATTGTTAGTATTGTTCCTCGTGTAAAAATTCCTAAATGCACACAGACACACACCTTAACTCTGCAATCCATACCGCAGGAGAGTAATAAATGTGCCGTACGTGGATACCATCTAATCTGAGAAATACCCTTAGTATGACCCTCCCAAGTATGAATTTGTGCTTTGGGTAAGAAACATCTATCAGGTGGTGACTCGGATCGTAAATTTACTCCAACATCTTGAGGCGCGTGTAAAAACGATCTTCCTTGATAATCCACGCTGTCCTTGACTAGAAAATAAACGTCATCGTTAAATAGTTCATGCAAAATTTAAATGCAAAAAAATCTGTTTTAATCAACATACTATGCAATACTGTTTTCTCTTCGAGAGGTTTTTCTTCTGTTGGTTTTCCTCTTCTGTTTCTTTTGGCTAATATCTCCTCAAGTTCAGCAGCTTCCTCATCCGTTGGTTTTATAACTCGTTTTTCATCAACATATCCACCCCATGGACCTAAAAACCCTTCTATATCTGCGGCATCATTGTTTCTACATCGCTTTCTTTTATCCAAAGGCCTTAGCACTGTACTTTCAAACACAGTTTTGGCACCACATTCTTCTGCTGCTTCTTTCGCTCCGATAATCGTTCTACCTTCATCTGCACTACCATCCACAGTTGGATCCAATGCATACCCTACAACAAGCATATTTATTTACGCAAATGCATCATAATTTCATGTAAATTAAGTTAAACATATTTCATGACTTATACATACCATAACTGGCAAAAGTCCTTCTTTGATTTTCAAATTGAAATTCACTTATGTGTGCTTTTTCTACATATCCGGATAGCATGTTTTTCGCAGCACGTTGCTGCTGTGTTTTAAAAGGATTCTCTGGTCCAATATCTGGAGCAAAGAGCTCTTCAAACTTTGGATTGTGCATGACTTCGTCCATGGTTGAATCTATATGCCTTACGCATAATTCAGTTCCCTATGATATATCGGTTGAATCGAACGTTAATCATTACGTCACAACTGTTACGAAAATGTATGTGAATTATTTAAATAATCTATAAAATTTGAATGCGACTCATCGAAGTAGGTGATAATATCGAAGAGTGTATTAACATTTATTTACCGTTGGTACCACTTCGGGCGCAGAGCAAATCTGCGTGATAACGGACGTAGTTAAGTTTCCCACAGGCACAGAATCAACGGCAGAAACATCGTTTGCGTCCAAATTACGATTAACCTCACTTTTTTCATTTTCATTGTCACTTTCCGCCTCGCTGCAATCGTCGCTACTACCGTAATCTTTCAAAGCGAGCATTTTTCCCTGGTACTCGAATTCAATGTCACCCAATGTTGTTAATTCACTAATTTCCAAACATCCAAATGTGTATCGTTTGTTTATGCGAACAAGAAATTCTTGGAAAGGAAAAAAAAATAACAAAGCTACAGTTTAGACGGAGTGTAGAATAAAATGAAACAATCAACACCTCCTCGTGTCGGTGTGTCGGTGGGATAGAACATAAACGGCGCCACTGTCACACTAATGTCACAAGTCACGTGGTTTTGTGTACCATTGTGTACCTTGTTCTCTCTGAACAAAATATAATAGTTATATTTATAGTTATAACAATTATCTTTGCTTGCGATTCTCTTAGGACGATTTGAAAGATGCCGGAACAAATGAAAATTCTCAAAAATCTGTAAATACCAAAAGAAATTTACACAAATATGGCGTCAGAAATCAACAGTGATCTGACATGCGCACATGAGAAATCAACGTTTCTTCAAAGTATGGTTAAGAGTGCGTTTCACTTAACGTCGTACTAATTGTTCTGTCAAAGTTGATTCGAATCCAAACACTTTACCAAACATAGCAACGTTTCTTCGGTGATGTTAGAGTCGAAAGAGAAGGATACCTTGGATCCACAAGATACGGAAGATGAGGACCAAATATCGCATAGATTTAAATCAGCAACTACAATCGAACCGATATTTAGTAATTCCGAACAAGAGAGAAGACTAAAGTCAAGCAATGCCAATAACGTATCGTGTTTCCTTCCGAATCACTCGGATGAAAATGGTGTATTGGTACGAAAGCTACCAGGAATAAATTTGCCTGAGAAAATTTTGTTTGTAATAGACACTATAAGAGAGAAGAATTGCACTCCTTTCCAACTCACTACAGGAGCTAAGTACATGCCTCTGTTTATGATTAAACGGGTAGTGGAAAGTTTTGTCTGTATAAAATCAACCCTTCAACGCAGCCACGAATATGCAGTAACGATTCTAAATTCTCAAGGTGCTCGTTGGATTTGTGATTTTACCAACAATACTAAGTGCATTATCAATTGCATGGATATGATCAACGAAGATATCTTGGAAGACGATCAAAAGTCTTACGACTTAGGACAGATGTTTGAACAAATACACTCCAGGTTATTCGTGCCACCAAAGAAACATGGTAACGAAGAAATGGTTCCACCATTTCTCACCAGAGTAATTTTAATATACTCCAGATCATATAGCATCCCAAAATTTCACACTGGTAAACAATATCTGGAAAGTCTTACAGAAAATCCATATTTTTTTATTGATGTGTTATACATACACGAGCCACCGTCTTCCGAAAATTTGTGCGAAGAAATTTACGCGGAACTAGCGACGTTAGATACGGCAAACTGTTCATATATACTAGAAGTAGGAAGGAATGCTGCAAAAGTACACGACAGTATGGCTAAGTTGCTGGCGCATCCTCTGCAACGACCGATGCAGAAAGAAATTTGTTACGCGATTGTTCCATCCTCCAGTCCTCAAGAAATGTGTACCAATGTTTAATAGTATAATTTTTGTTCATTGAAAATTAATGAAACATAACTTTTACATCTGTATAAAAATGTGATTATTGCAATACGTGCACTGTACATAAAATGTAGTTTTAGTAATCCTGGCTATCCTTGCAAGATTCCATCCTTCCACTTTTCGATCGGACGATACGAATAAAAATTAGCAATCCGAGCGATTGTTCGTCAAACACGATTATCTTTACTTACATCTAATTAATGCAACGTTTACAGTGTCCTTATGATTAACACGTTGAATACGGAATAATTTCATTCATGCTAAAGATCACAGAAACGTTTTAGATAATCCTCGACATTGTCATCTTGACTCTCAATGTGTTAAGATAAAAAGATTATTCGTCGATATATTGCGATATACTGATTCACGAATCGTTTCATACGAAATTTTATAATTATCTATGAAATGAAATAACTTTTAAAGTTCTATCTACCATTCATTCTTATAAACATATTGCACTTATTGTATCCAGCACATACGTTAATGCATTCTTTGTCGTAATACAAAATAAAAAATTGTTGCACACACAATTGCAACATGTTCTTAACGGATAAAACTTATTATAATAGCGATATCACAGTACAGGAGTTACTCACCTAACTAAAATAAAATAAACTGGAATTGGATTAAAATGCAAATACCTATTGTATTTGTTTTTCTTCTTTTTTTTTTTTGTAGAAATTTCAACTTCACTGGTAAAATTACGGCAATACCTAGACCCTGACGTTAGTTTGCTTTTATTTAGAACAACGTAATATTTTTTCAAGCCGAATCGAACATAATTAGTTGTATCTAAATATCGACTCGACAATTTATCTTAATCTTGCGTATATTTTTTGGTTGGCTATATCGAAACTATGAATAAATAACGAACAATTGATCTGTTTACCACGGGTCGTTAAACGACGGTAACGAAAGCACAGAAACCAAGCAGAAAGTACGAAACGATCGAGGTATGCGTCGAGGACGAAACTCGCAGCGTTCTTAGGACTTGGTTCATTAATTTGACGAGTTGTCTAGCACTGTCTTCCGTAATTTCGTTCGTCGTAATATTCGAGGTCTCTATCGCGTTACTTTTCGTAACATTCGATGAAACGCTCGCGTCGCTTTCTTTCGAGGGCGCGTTCTCGGGCTGCCAATCACCGCAGGTAGGGTAATTACGCGGTACCGGTAGCATATCTTTATGCTCGCCAACTTTGAAGATTAACGACATTCCAACTTCGGCGTGAAATTCAATGTGACAGTGAAACAACCAGTAACCTGGAGAAAAAGCGTAACGTAAATAATTCCGAAAATATAAGGTCTAATATCGTAGATTACAGGGTGTCCCAAAACTCGGGGAGGAGTCGGAAATGGGGGGTAGCTGAGACGATTCTGAACAACAATTTCCTTTGCAAAAATGTCGGATGGGGCTTCGTTAGAGATATTAAGAGAAAACCCCGACCAATCAGAGCGCGAGTATGCCGGTTGAGCGTAGACTACGCGCCAGGCGGCCGCGCTCATTCGCTACCACGGCCGCTCCAACGACATACGCGCGCTCTGATTGGTCGGGGTTTTCTCTTAATATCTCCTTAACGAAGCCCCATCCGACATTTTTGCAAAGGAAATTGTTGTTCAGAATCATTTCAGCTACCCCACATTTCCAGCTCCTCCCCGACTTTTGGGACACCCTGTATAAAAGCAACGAATGCTTACGGAAAATTCCTGAAAAATTTTATTTTATTTTCAGGTCAAACATACCTGGATTATTAGCATGAAAGCGTATGATTGTGTAACCACCGTCTGGTACCGTTACGGTGTCCTTCAGCGGAGCGTGGTCCAAGTTTCTGCGTATCAACCCTTCTTTATCCAATTTCTTTACGTCCTCAGCCATAACATTTTTACCGACTCTCGCCATCGCGATAACGCGAAACTGATAACCGTGAAGGTGAAACGGATGGTTCGCGTCGTAAGCAAAGCCTAAGGAACATCGTAAATAGTATTAAAAAGGAATGAAAATTAAAAGAACGGGTCACGCGTGACACGTATGGCAAGTCGAATGCCGAACGCTAACCTTCGTCTACTAAAACTAGTTCGACTACGCTGCCAAGTCTCACTTGAAGGACGTGAGTACAGGCACAGTAATCTTCCTTGCATCCCTGAACGGTACTCTCGTTGCAAAATCCACTTTGATCAATGGAATCTCTTTGAGAGAGCAGAGGTATAGACGGTAACTTCATAGAAATATGATTCAATTGCGGCGTGAGAACTCGCTTTGTACTCATAACTGGAAACATTTTAGCGGTGTGTTAGAAACTAATAGAAACCAAAGGAATGATTATATCCGACTTGATGAAATATTTATTCGCTCCGACTCGTTCGCGATAAATGGTAACGGTACCTTGATTGAATCCGTACAGTCTACTGCGATGAAAATGAGGATTGTCTTTCTTGTAAAAATCGTAAGACACATAGAATTGGTAATCGGGCTCCAAGGTATTGGACTCGTCGTTCTCGTCCATAGCTTTCAACAAAGGTATGCTGACGCTCCTATTCGTCTCGGTACCTTCGTTCAGAGCGTTCAATTGCTGAAATTGTGATACACGTATCGTTACTTATCGTCGAACCCGTACACACCCGTATACATTATAATAGCGAATTATAAACATACCAGACCCAGAGTATCGTTCGATTCGCGTTCGTACGTGACTTCACCTTCGGGATCTTGCTCGATCGCACCTTCGTATCGCAGTATAGCCACTTGATAAGCTTTGGTGAATCTTTCGTCGCAATCCATCAATCCTCGAAAACGAATCCAATAGTTGGCCACGGTACGATTCGTGTCAACGACGAAGTCGAATCTTTCACCGGCGTAGCTCACCAAAGAATCCACTGTAAGAATCATCGTCGTTACCGTTATCGTTGCGACAAATATCGTTCGTCGACGTAAATTTGAATATACAGGGTGTCCCAAAAGTCGGGGAGGAGCCGGAAATGGGGGGTAGCTGAGACGATTCTGAACAACAATTTCCTTTGCAAACATGTTGTCGGAGGCTTTGTTAAGGAAATATTAAGAGAAAACCCCGACCAATCAGAGCGCGCGTAGTCCGTTCGAGCGGCCGCGGTAGCGAAGGCTACGCGCTAGGCGGCAGCGTCAATGTCCTTCGATGCACGTCGAGTCACTTGTTCGTGTACAAGCGCGACCGCTTAGCTCGTAGCCTTCGCTACCGCGGCCGCTCCAACGGTCTACGCGCGCTCTGATTGGTCGGGGTTTTCTCTTAATATCTCCTTAACGAAGCCCCATCCGACATTTTCGCAAAGGAAATTGTTGTTCAGAATCGTCTCAGCTACCCCCCATTTCCGGCTCCTCCCCGACTTTTGGGACACCCTGTACTATTATAAACCATTATACTATTATAATCACTCGACGCGTACCTTCGATCGGTTCGATGTCACGTCCATCCGAACTAATCACGTACATAGAGTGATCGTCGATCGACAATTCGACCGGGCAATTAAGAAACTCGGCGTTGATAAGCCTAAATCTGTGTCTGGTATTCTGTAAACGAGAAGACCACGTGAAAATCTTTCGCGGTGTACAGAATTGGTAGTTGCATCGCTGAGGGGCAGTAATCGTAATTACGATTACGATTGTAATCAAATGTTTTCGAGTTGTGATTACGATTGCGATTAAAATCGCAAATTTTTCTGCGATTACGATCGTATTTTCAAATGTTTTCAAACATAGAAATTTTGTATCTGAAAACCGATTTCAAATTCATGTTCACCACACCAAAAAACTTAGGAAACCAGGTTTTCGTAAAGATCAAAAATTTTTAAATGTTACCCTATCCAGGCCCTAGCCTGTTGGCATGAATTATTTTAACTGAAAATTTTTAATTTTTAATTTCGACGAAATCATCGTTTTCCAGGTTTCTTGAGGACGAGGAACACGAAATTGAGGTCGGTTTTGAGGTATAAAATTTCTATGTCTGGAAACACCCGAAAATTTGTGATTACGATTATGCCCAACACTACCGAGAGGCTTAATTTTAACTTTACCGGTTTAACGACAAACGTTGCGATCGGCATCGAAGCCGAGACGTTGTTTCCGCCCTGTGCAACCGTGAAACGACCCAAACCATTGATAAGTATAGTAGGCGGCTTGTTGCTCCCGTCCGCGTGATAGTGATTCAAAAATGTATCGGATCCTAATCTGTGAGTCCAATCCAAGATCTGTATGGTATGTTCGTCGACGTCGTACAGATCATAGTGCCAGTTTAAACTCGGAGGTACGCGAACGATCAACGGGCCGAATAATCCATCGCCTCGTTGAAAACCTAAAGAGATTATGGTTCGTTTATTTCCTTTATTCCGTTAGCAGCAAGTTACAACGAATCGTTCGAAACCGCACCTAGATGCGAATGCCAGAAATGCGTGCCTGCTTCTGTAGCGATATAATCGTACCGAAAACTCGATCCTGGCAATATCGGGCATTGAGACACGTAGGGAACGCCATCCATGTACGGTGTTTTAACGTGATGTTGTCCGTGCCAATGCATCGTAGTGCTCTCAGAATGCAGTAAGTTTATTACGTCGACTATTACCCTGTCTCCTTGGCACACCTGCGAACGACAACCGTGGATGGATTCATTAATAAAGCCGAGCCTGCACAACTCGATTTCTATTCAAATAGACTTTCAAGGATTTCCGCGATCCCAAGACAATTTTCTTGTCTACGGTGTATTTATTATATAATACCACCGTACGTGATTAGCAACGAACCACGCGGCTAAGTGAAATCCATTCCGCTGGAACGACGTCGTCGAAACGAATACAAAAAGTCCTTGGCGGGTTATCTATTCTATATTAACAAAACTGTAGACGTATTCGTCCTCGTTGATTGCCGCGTCGCTTTATTACTGTTTCCATTGAAAAAAAAAAGTGATACCTTGAAATACAATGCTATCGAACGATATACAGAGTGAGTCGCGAGAAACAGAACTCCTGAATAGGCTGCTATCGATGATAGGAAGAAATGGATCAGGTGATGCATAGGTGAAAATGCGTAGATGAAAATGCACAGGTGAAGGCGTCAAGGAGATATAAAGGTGATCTCTGTTTTTTTTTTTTTTTTTTTTCTTTAATGGAATGCTATGTTTATGCTGCCGTATCGTGATAGAGGATCTTAAAACGAGTTGAACAAGGTCATCGACGATCGTAGAAAGCAGAGAAAAGCGATGATTATACTTACGATTTTGGTAGAGCAAAAGGAGCCATGAGCGTCACCCCTATTCGCGACTCAGCTCGACGTTCGGATACCTTGACTTTCGAAGGGTGGTTACTCTTAGTCTTATCTAGGGATAACCAACGAGGACGCGAGAGAGGTGTCCATTCTAAAGAATCGAGTTGACCTTGGAATGACCCCAAAAAATTGACCGTGAGGTAAAACTGAAATCACCTCGTGGCACCTTTTGATCTACCAAAACCGTAAGTATAATCGCCTTTCTCTACTTTTTATAACCTTCGATGGCCTCGTTGAACTCGTTTTAAGATCCTCTATCGCGATACACGAGCAAAAACATAGCATTCCATTAAAAAAAAAAAGAAAATAGAGACGACCTTGAAGTCTCCTCTACCCCTTCACCCACGTAGAAAATGTTTGTGTCGCAATATGCACCCCCCTGTGCCGCGTAATTCGGTATATAACATTTGCTCATATTGTTACGAGTAGTTGTTATCCCACCCTGTATAGTATTTGCAAAGATATTGGTTATTCGCACGCGTGCAAACGACGGGGAATAAAGATAGGAGTTAATTACGTTCGGTTAAGTACTCACCTCTATAGGTGGTCCCGGCATTTGGCGATTAACGACTAAAAGAAGCCTTTCGATTCCGTCGGCTGGAACGCAGTGCGGCCGAAAGCAATCGGTGGTATTGCGCGGGCAATCGTAACACGCTTTACTCATCGTACGATAACCCTCTAATTTAAAGAGATAATGGCATTCCATGGACGGTGATCCGTCCTCGCAGTTCCGCCGACATGGATGTTGCCTCCAATCAACTTCGTCGGCTACCTCTGCGTTAACGGTCCCGAATTCGAAATCGTTGTGCGCAGTTATGATCGTTTCTAGAAAGAACGACGATAAATTATTCGTAGACGAATTTCACTCATCCTCGGTTTAGAATCCGAACACCGCGGCGATAGAATCCGAACGTCCGAAAACAAAGCACACCGACTCGACCGGCTCAGATCGGTCTACCGGTTTCGCTTTCGAACCTCAGCGTACAACGTTAATAGTTTCAGAAAGAGACACTTTTTTCGAAATCAAAAGGCCTCTTGATCCCCGGCCGCGTTCGTCGTCTCCTTCTTTTCCTTTACTTTTCACTCACCCGACAAGCAGCCGCTGAACAGCAGAGGAAGTTGTATCAGTTGCAGAAGAAATATCACGTTTTTACACGTCATCCTTGCGAAAACAGGTAAACTCTCGCGATGATCGAAAATTTTCACGACACGTTCACGAATCGTCTACGGAATCGGCGGTTCGCGCAACTCGCGATTATACTAGTGCGACCGTGAAACACGGTGAAAATTCGTTATCGACGTGGAAAATCGTGCGGGCATCCTACTCGCAACGCGTTGGACAAATAGATCCTCAAATAGCTGGGAACAGATGCGACGTGTTTTCTCCTTATCTAATCTGGATCCCGTGAGAAAATGCTCGAGCAGACAGGAATTAAAAATTTGGATGCGATCCACTGCAAGCTCCAATGGTACACGCAGGCGATAACGAGTCTCCAACGACGTCGACGTCAACCCCTTAATCGGAGCGAACGGTCTTCTTAAATTTAACGTTTCGAAACGTCTTTCCTCGTTACGGAATCGAGGAAAAAGATCTCCTCGAGGAAGTATATATTGTATCTCAACAGTAATATCTTTCTCTAACGTTTATCGTATCGACGTATTTCGTTGCGAATTCAGGGCTACTATATAATATTACGTTACATCGAATCTGTTTTTTTTTTGTTTTTCCTAAAAGGATCGCAAACGATTCAAAAGGAAACCGAAATGCACTTTTTCCATTGCGAAATGATCTGTCCGTCGACAGGTGTCACAATCCCTCGGTTGCGGTTGCGATACACGTGTGCGAGTATATGGTGCTGCGCGTCGCTTCGGAACGAAAGTTGAAGGATGAAAAGAAAATCGGTCACGACGGAATACCACCGGTTCTATGTTTCTATCGTCGGTCTCTCGGATGTGCCGCTATTCTTTCTCGCGTCCGATGCTCGTCCTTAACGCGCACTGCTAGTACATGTAAAATCAGCGACGCTTTAAGGAAGACTGGCCCAATGCAGCGCCGTCCGTCTCTCTATACAGGAATTCCCTGGAGGTCACACGTACCCCACGAATCGCCAACGGTCCTGTTACTTTACCACTTTGCTCGATTTTTTAACACGCGTGCAGAACCCGGGACACAAACAACGTCGACGTGCACGTATTCCTCGCGCGTTCGTTCTTCCCCCTGTACAAGGTATCATGGGAATTCCCACTCGATGAAACTTGTACGTATCGATGGCATTCCGAGGTTTTCCTTTTGACGCACGTGAAACTTTCAATGAACTGCACAACCATGCGATCCGGTTACTTCGGTGACCAAGCCAAATATCGAGCAACCCGACTTACATCAAGAGATTAGACGCAGTTGGACACTTTGGAAGAGGTCGTCGTTTTCTGCATTTTTTAAATTCACTTATACATTTATTCATAAATATGCTCCGCCAGTGTAAAAGGATCTTCTTTAATTTTACTTTAATTTTCATTTCGGGCGAATCCTGAAATGCGTTACTACGCTTATCGATCTACATAATTTTCTACCAGATATTCCTCTAACGTCCGTGTAATATGCTTGCGACAAAAATGAAGAAATAACACGGAAAGTATCGTGTATATATTGCGATAACTTAAACGCTTCGAAGCTGTCAGATGTTTGTACAAAATTCATTTCTTCTGTTACGTCTTTCATAAATATTTAAATATGCTCTGTCGGTGTAAAAGGGTTTTCTTTGATTTTGCACAAAAAAATTCATAAAATAAAGCTATATTCCGATTCTATTCAACCTCGAAAGCAAACGCGATTTAATATCGCACAAAAGCGCAAGTTTATTTTATCTTCGAAAAGTGAGCAAGGAAAAGTGTGTTTTGACGTCACAACGAATATCGTCATTCATTCGATGAAATGTAGTTTTAATACCCGTTCCGAAGAACGTGTCGGATTCGTCGATGCATTCATCGTTGGATTTTTGACGACATTGTTTTTTCTTTCGATGCTGCAAGTTTTCGTTTCGACGCCGATAGGACACGATCCATCGTCGTTTCTGCGTGCACGAGCACACGTAGCCGGGGTGACTTTAATGCTCGAGCAGCGAAAGTGAACGACGCGAACGTCCTGTACCCCGTGGACGTATCCTTCTTTTTATTAAGAAACCAACATATATCGCGCTACGTGCACGTTGCGATTTATTTAACGATCAACACGTTTACGTCGGCGCTGCTATTTGTATTTCTCGCTATGAGGCGGCGCGGTGGTACACGCCGTCTGATAGTTACTCGAGCGTGAGCCACCGGTGGTGCACGCCGGCGTGAACGTGTTAAATAAATACATTTCATAAAAGTCGCAAAGTTTCTTCAATCGAGCGCGCGGAGAGATAAGTATAAAACTATTCTATTCCATTTTTATTAAAAAAAAAAAAAAAAAAAAAAAAAAGAATGCATGAAAATCCGGTTGAGTGGTTAATGAGTCACTGTAATATTACGTTTTTTTTTTATTTCCCGCTAACGGCGACTGTACACGTGAGGTAGTGCATTCAAGTTTTTTTCCCAATCGTATGTACCATTAGAATGTTTTATACGAACTCGTGCTTAACATGTTCGCTAATACGCGTTTAATTTACCGCATAGATCATGCGACGCGTATGGACGACATGATTTATAGACGTTTCGAAGATCGAGCTACAAAATTCCGATATTAATTTTCTCGGCATGCAATCGTACATCAGTGATCGGTGAGACAATTTCAAGCAACGAACACCTTCCTGTACCGACGTCCATGCCGTGGAGCACTGATCGCCGAACGTCAATGTTAATTACCACGAGCGTCCTTAAGGCCGACTAAACATGGATTTTTTCGCGGAATCTTACGATCAAACGCGGTACATATACTCAGGCATACGTGTCACGGTTTTTCCGGTACGCGATCTACACGTGACACGATTCCTTCGATGCATAATTAATAAATAAAACGCATCGATTAAAAATTACGAATTTACACAGCGGGTTCGTTGTAAGCACGGATAATTTTTTTTTTTTTTTTTTTTTTTTTTTTTTTTTTTTTTTTTTTTTT